GCGGGATTTAAAAGTGAGGAGGCTGGGGGAAAGGCAGAGGGATTGAGGAAGAGAATTCCAGAGTTTTGGGGCGTAGTGGCTGAAAGCATGGCCACCAATAGTGGAACAGAGAGAATGAGTAAGTAGGAACCCGTTCATTAATCAATTGGTGCATTGCTTTTCTGGAGGCAATAATCCCTTCAACTGGACAATTCTTGGAAATTAGAAGGATTCAGACTTATTACATAATGAGACAGATGTATCAAAGAATCTTTTGAAAGATTAGATGAGTTGGCTAGATGGATCAGTGGTTTTATATGCCTAACAGTGCTACTGCTGTGTGTTACTAAAGGACACTTTGTATGAAAGCTAATAAGCCAAGCTGACATCAAACCAATAGGCCAAGTAAATTTGCAATATCCTGAACTCTACACAGTTTAGTCAGTCCTCTGAGGGAATTTAATTACTCCATTTAAAGCAACATTATTTATTAACAATGCCTCCTTGCTCATTCATGTTGACATTAATAAAAAAATCCAGAATATCAGTCAAACATTCTCAGTGGGCATTATTGAACCCTAGTCCTAAATACATGGTCCCAGCAAAATTAGCAATGTTTAGTTCCTTTAGTGCTTTTTGTTAGCTGGGTGATCATCTTGACTTTTTTTAGCGGCTTATGCCCTTACAAAACAGCTTTCATGTAGGATGGCATCTTGAATGCTTCACAATGACTAGAAGGAACACTATACAGAGGAAAGGAAGTCCAAGGGTATGAACGAAAGGCACTGTTAAGCAAAGGGTTTTGACAGTAGTAGGGAAAGGTGTAAAGTGGATTTGAGGAGTTCCAGAGAAAGGAGGCATAACTGGTCGTCAACAGTAGGTTGAGGAGGAGGGTGAAACAAACCAGTTTTAGAATGAATTGTAAATAACAAGAAAATGCCTAAAACCTTCATGGGTGACAAAACTGACTTATACATTAAATTAAAGTCAAATGTATTGTATATTCATTGCTGAAGAGGGTGCAGTGGAGGGCTGCTAGTTTAATTCCAAAAATTAGGGGGCAGAGGCACGAGGAAGGGTTGGTTATTCTGGTACTTTTGTCTCTTTTTGGGAGAGGGAGAGGTTTCTTTCAGTCGTGATGGTCTATGGCGGCAATGCCTGTCATTGGGTATTCAGGTTCAAGTTTCAGTGGGTTGTCTCTGTAAGACAACCAAACGTTTCAGATCTCTAACGTGTTTCTCCCACTTCTCAAACCCAATCTCAGTTCTTGCTGGCCATCCTGGATAATATTGTTACACTCAGTTCAGGCCACCAGGTGGTACTGTACTAACATATTGTACTCTGCCTCAGTCACAAAGTTTGGTATCCAACTCCCCCAGGTGGCTGAGGAAGCTTTAGGCTGCTGTTGCCAGTATTCTGTCCCATTTATATACTAGCTGTACCCATTGCAGCTACGCTTGCAACCAAAAGATGCAATATGGCATGTGGATGACAGTGATACCACTCACAAACCATTTAACATGCCATAAACACTGTGTGCAGACCTGAAGCAAAACTGCCACACACGTGCGATGAGCTTGTTTAGGAACATAGCTCATGAAAGATAGATCTTATCAAAGCTATACTAACCTAAGGGGTTTACTTTGTGATCTGGCAGGTCCTCAAGTTATTGCAATAAGCTGTTCTGTTCTTTGTTCTTCAGTTTAATTTAATCAGCCTTTCTTTCATCCGGCCTTTTTATTTGTATTTGAAAGGCTTGATGTTTGCCTAGGCATCTTTATTTTGTTCCCTCCGCTTGGCTTTGTCTGAGTGCGTGCTTGCTGTGTGCGTACGTACGTGTTCTGTGATGCACAATGCCACTGCGCCACTGGGAGTCGGCACATCCACCAGGTATAACTGTAGTGCAAAACGCAAACCTGCTATACGTGTGTGATGAGCTTGTTTAGGTCATAACCCACGATAGAAGATCCCCCCCAAAAAATATATCCATGACACCCCCAAATGCAAGGCCTTTCGGATGAGGTATAAATCATGTCTCTACATCAATCAGGTATTGAAATCTTGGCTGACACATAGACGTTGTTGTTTCGTTAGTATAGAAGATAGATAATCCTTGTATTTGATATAGCGCCTTAAAATATCGTTGAGTCGCCTCAAAGCTCTTGACAGGAATTACTGTGAAGTGTAGTGACAGTGTATTTTGTCGGGGAATTCAGCAGCTATTTTGAACACAGCATAAATGTTGCATAAACAGACATGAATGCCCAATCTTATTTGGGGATTGTTGGCCCGGACACAAGATGGGGGAAGGGGGGTGTTCCTTACTATATTTTATTGGGTAATTGAGTAAAATAATACTCCTTGTATCTGCTATTACACCATTAATGTTAAAACTACTCAAAATAATTTACAGGAAATTCCTCTAAAGTGCAGTCACTACATATTTGATGTGATCACTCGCATATTTGCACACAAATAGCCGCTTGATTGATCAATGATTGATTTGTTGGCCAGGACACTGCAAGAAACTCCCTTCTCTTTTCAAATACAGTAGTTTTATGGCATCTTTAACACCATCTGAACAGGCAGACAGGAAATGGATTTATGTTTCACTTGAAGAACAACAACTTATATATTTATATAATAATATACTCCTTTGCATTTGGTATAATGCCTTGTCATTGGCGGCAGGTCGTCTCAAAACACTTCACAGGATTTACTGTGAAATGGAGTGACTCTGTGTTTGTAGGCAAATGTGGCAACACGATTGCTCACAACAATGTCCTACAAACCGCGACAATAATAATAATAATCGTTGCTGCTGATATAGCGCATTATCCCATCGTTGAGATATCCGAAAGCTCTTCACAGAATGTACTGTAAAGTTCCTGTTCCTCTGAACTCCTCTCCCTCTGGTCTTCGTCCCTCACTGACCCCTCTTCTGCTCTCACCCTCCTCCACAACACCCTCTCCTCCACACTCGACACTCTTGCCCCCATCACCTCCCGCATTGTCTCTTACTCTCGCTTCTCCCCCTGGTTCTCCACCCACCTCCGCTTGCTGAAGAGCCAGGTGCGGGCCGTTGAACTCAAATCTGCCTCAAATCTGGCCTAACGGTCCATCGGCAAATCTGGCTGGACCTCCTCAAAACCTACTGCTCCACTCTAGCCTCGGCCAAGTCATCCTTCTACTCCAGGATAATCCTGGAGGCGAAGAACAACCCCAGGTTTCTGTTCTCTACCACAACCCGACTCCTCCGCCCCCCCCCCACGCAGGTCATCTCCTCCAACCTTCACTGCGAGGAGATGCTGGATTTCCTTGAATCCAAAATCAAGGGAATCCGCTCCGCGGTCACTGCCCCTCCAACTTCCACTCACCCCCCACCCCTTCCCTCCCAAACTCCAACTCCTACCCATCCTCCCCTACACACCTTCGAACCAGTTTCCCCACCCTCTGTCACCAACCTCATCTTGTCCTTGAAACCCACCACCTGCTCCCTGGACCCCATCCCCACTCCACTCCTTATCTCCCAGCTCCACCTCCTTGCCCCACTTCTCACAGACACCATTAACCTGTCTCTCTCCTCTGGCTCTGTTCCCATTCCCCTCAAAACTACACCATCACTCCTACACTGAAAAAACTCTCCCTTGATGCCCAGCTATCAAAGCTACCGGCCCATCTCCAACCTCCCCTTCCTGTCCAAGGTTCTCGAAAGAGTCGTCGCCTCCCAGCTGCGCTCTTTCCTCTCCACCCATTCACTATTTGAACCCCTCCAGCATGGAAACTGCCCTGGTCAAGGTCACTAATGACATCTTGGCCATCTGCGACCAGGGCTCCCTGGACGAGAGACAACTTTCTTCAGCTCAACGTGCGCAAAACTGAGGCCCTCCTGATTGGCTCACGTCAGTGCCTCCGCACCTCAGGCACTGACAGCATCAGCATCCAAGGCTGCACTCTCCACCTCTCAAAGCCATCAGGAACCTTGGGGTTCTGTTCGACCCTGAGCTGTCCTTTCTCCCTCATATCCGCGCCACAACTGGCACCGCCTTCCATCACCTCCGAAACATCACCAGACTATGGCACTACCTCACCCCTCACGCTGCTGAAACTCTGGTCCACGCCTTTATCACCTCAAGGCTGGACTATGGGAACTCTCTCCTCGCCGGCCTTCCCGCCACCTCCTTCCACAAGCTGCAGGTCATTCAGAACTCTGCAGCTCGTGTACTGTCCCGCACCAGGCTTCGGGACCATATCACTCCCACCCTCGCTCGCCTCCACTGGCTCCCCATCCCCCAGAGGATTGACTTCAAGATCTTCATCCTCACCTACAAGGCCATTCACGGCCTTGCTCCCTCCTACCTCTCCAACCTACTATCCCCCTACCTACCTGCCCGTACCCTCCGTTCCTCTGGCTCCGGTCTGCTCCACGTCCCCCGCCCCAACCGCCCTACCATCGGTGGCCGGGCCTTCAGCCTCTCAGCCCCCAGGCTGTGGAACTCCATCCCCCAGTGCCTTCGCCGCCTCCTCCCTTTCCTCCTTCAAGGCCGGTCTCAAGACCTTTCTCTTTGACCGTGCCTTCAGCTCCCCTCTCAACTCTCTACCCCCTCCTCGCTCCCTCCCCTCACCCTGACCATTTCCCCCCAATGCTCAGGTCCTGACCCAACTGTGCAGCGCCTTGGGACGTCCTCCCGACGTGAAAGGCGCTCAATAAATGGAATCCTGTTGTTGTTGTTGTTGTTGTTGTAAAGTGAATTGACGGTATTTTGTGGGCGGAACAATATCACGTGTCACAGCAGTGTCCCACAAACAATGGTGGATTGAATGACCGTATTATTTATATATGTATATATATACATATATATATCTATGGAGAGGGGGAGAGGGGGAGATGGGGGTTACCACCACAGGGAAAGTGTGGAGAAAGTTGGGAGGTGCAGTTCTACATCAGTGTCTCTGCGCTCGGCGGTGGAGCGGTGGGGGTCTGGCATCGATGTCTCTGCGCTGGGCGGCGGTGCCTGGTTGCCCTGCCCCCGCCGGTCTCCATGGTGACCGGGCAGGGCTCGCATCATGTCCGCCGTCTCTAAGGTGGTCCTCGGCGTCTCTGTGGCGGTGACAGCGGGCACGGTGGCCGGGGTCCACCTGAGGCAGCAGCTGGACAGGGAGGTTGGTGCTGGGGCTCCCCGCGGGGGTGGGGTGGGGTGGGGGGAGGCACCGACCGAGGCCTCGGCTCAAAGTGAGCCGCACGGCGACCTCCAGTCGCGGCCTCGGGAACACGGAGCCGCCGCTCGGTGCGCTGAGGCCCGCGGCCTGCGAGTGGGGTGAGGGAGGGTGGGAGGGAGGGAGGGAGGGAGGGAGGCAGCTGCTCTGACCCGCGGCTGCAGTCTCTCCCCTCACCCCACCATCACCGGACACCGTGGCAGGGAATCCCCGGCGGGGGCAGGTCTAGGCCCCAATCCGTCAATGTGCCGCCGGGGGTCACTGCAGCCGCCCCGCCCCGTGTCCCCGTCAGCGAGGCCCGGGGGTGTGGGGGGGGGAGGGAGGTCGGCGGGGTCTCCTTGGTGCTGAACCGGCTCCAAGGTGACATGCCTGGCTGTGGGAATCCAGCCAGCCCTCTGTGGGCGGCCTCTGGCCCGGTGCCCGAGCCAGGCGGGCCCGCGGGCCACTGCTGCTGACAGCCCACACAGCCCAGCCCAGCACACACAGCCCAGCACACACAGCACACACAGCCCAGCACAGCACACACAGCCCAGCCCAGCACACACAGCCCAGCACACACAGCCCAGCACACACAGCACACACAGCCCAGCACACACAGCCCACACAGCCCAGCCCACACAGCCCAGCACACACAGCCCAGCACAGCACACACAGCCCAGCCCAGCACACACAGCACACACAGCCCAGCCCACACAGCCCAGCACAGCACACACAGCCCAGCACAGCCCACACAGCCCAGCACACACAGCACACACAGCCCACCCAGCCCAGCACACACAGCCCAGCCCAGCACACACAGCACACACAGCCCACCCAGCCCAGCACACACAGCCCAGCACAGCACACACAGCCCAGCACACACAGCACACACAGCCCACCCAGCCCAGCACACACAGCCCAGCACAGCACACACAGCCCAGCACACACAGCACACACAGCCCACCCAGCCCAGCACACACAGCCCAGCACAGCACACCCAGCCCAGCACACACAGCCCAGCCCAGCACACACAGCCCAGCACACACAGCCCAGCACACACAGCCCAGCCCAGCACAGCACACACAGCCCAGCACAGCACACACAGCCCAGCACACACAGCCCAGCCCAGCACACACAGCCCAGCACAGCACACACAGCCCAGCACACACAGCCCAGCACAGCACACACAGCACACACAGCCCAGCCCAGCACACACAGCCCAGCCCAGCACACACAGCACACACAGCCCAGCACAGCACACACAGCCCAGCCCAGCACACACAGCACACACAGCCCAGCACAGCACACACAGCCCAGCACACACAGCCCAGCACAGCCCACACAGCCCAGCACAGCACACACAGCCCAGCACACACAGCCCAGCACACACAGCACACACAGCCCACACAGCCCAGCCCACACAGCCCAGCACACACAGCACAGCACACACAGCACACACAGCCCAGCACAGCACACACAGCCCAGCACACACAGCCCAGCACAGCACACACAGCCCAGCACACACAGCCCAGCACAGCCCAGCCCAGCACACACAGCCCAGCACAGCACACACAGCCCAGCACAGCACACACAGCCCAGCACAGCACACACAGCCCAGCACAGACAGCCCAGCACAGCCCACACAGCCCAGCACACACAGCCCACACAGCCCAGCACACACAGCCCAGCACAGCCCAGCACACACAGCCCACACAGCCCAGCCCACACAGCCCAGCACACACAGCACAGCACACACAGCACACACAGCCCAGCACAGCACACACAGCCCAGCACACACAGCCCAGCACAGCACACACAGCCCAGCACACACAGCCCAGCCCAGCACACACAGCCCAGCACACACAGCCCAGCACACACAGCCCAGCACACACAGCCCAGCACAGCACACACAGCACACACAGCCCAGCACACACAGCCCAGCACACACAGCCCAGCACACACAGCCCAGCACACACAGCCCAGCCCAGCACACACAGCCCAGCACACACAGCCCAGCACAGCACACACAGCCCAGCACACACAGCCCAGCCCAGCACACACAGCCCAGCACACACAGCCCAGCACAGCACACACAGCCCAGCACACACAGCCCACACAGCCCAGCACAGCACACACAGCCCACACAGCCCAGCACAGCACACACAGCCCAGCACACACAGCCCAGCACAGCACACACAGCCCAGCACAGCCCAGCCCAGCACACACAGCCCAGGACACACAGCCCAGCACACACAGCCCAGCCCAGCACACACAGCCCAGCCCAGCACACACAGCCCAGCACAGCACACACAGCCCAGCCCAGCACACACAGCCCAGCACAGCACACACAGCCCAGCCCAGCACACACAGCCCAGCCCAGCACAGCCCAGCACACACAGCCCAGCACAGCCCAGCACACACAGCCCAGCCCACACAGCCCAGCACAGCCCACACAGCCCAGCCCAGCCCAGCACACACAGCCCAGCCCAGCACACACAGCCCAGCCCACACAGCCCAGCCCAGCACACACAGCCCAGCCCAGCACACACAGCCCAGCACAGCCCAGCACACACAGCCCAGCCCACCCAGCCCAGCACACACAGCCCAGCCCAGCACACACAGCCCAGCACACGCAGCCCAGCACACGCAGCCCAGCACAGCCCACACAGCCCAGCACACACAGCCCAGCCCAGCACACACAGCCCAGCACACACAGCACAGCCCAACCTGGCTCATCGGCAGGACCTGGAAGGGCAGACCAGTGACTGGGGGCAGGCAGTCACCCCGCTCAGCTCCTGCCAGCCCTGCACGCCGCAGCCCAAATGGGCAGGGTAGGGTGGTACAAGCAGCGGGAAAGCTTGCCAGTCGGCAATAGCAATGGCAAGCTATTGGGGTTTTAGCTCGTTAGGACCCCATGAATACCCCAAAACACGCTCGGGGGTCATCAAGCCTTGGTTCTTGCCAACCTGCCCCTAATACTTTCAGGAACTAGGTGAGCGGGATGATTATAACCAATAACAACTTGCGTTTAATTTATACAGCGCCCTTCACGCAGGGTAGTGATTCGAAGCGCTTGACAATGGTGTCAAGGCTCCGCCATTGTTAAGGGCTCCGACACACTACTATGCATGAAGGGTTCTGTACAAATACAAGTTGTTGTTGATTATAACTTGCTTGATATTTCTGCTCTCAGTGGCTTGACCGAGCAATGGTTGATTGTTTGACTCTGAGAGGGGACCCCAAAAATTTTGCCCAACAACAAAATTATATTTGTATAGCGCCTTTCGAAGGATGTCCCAAGGCGCTGGACAGACAGAGTTTTGTACCTGAGCTGGGGGTCAGGGTTGGGAAGGGTGGAGGGCGGGTGGGGGAGATCAAAAGCACGGTCCAAGAGGAGGGTCTTGAGATGGGTCTTGAAGGAGGCAAAGGAGGAGTCGAGGTGGAGGGACTGCAGGATGGCGTTCCAGAGCGTGGAGGCAGAGTGGCAGAAGGCCCACCCACCAATAGTGGGGCGAGCGAGGCAGGGGGACGTGAAACAGGCCAGGGACCACTGAGTGGAGGGAGCGAGCGGGATGGTAGGGGGGTTAGAAGGTCGTAGAGGTAGGGGGGAGCAAGACTATGGAGAGCTTTCAAGGTGAGGACCAGGATTTTGAACTGTATCCTCTGTGCCAATGGAGTCGGGCGAGGATGGGGGTGATAGGGTCACGGAGCCTAGTGTGGGAGAGGACGCGGCTGCAGAGTTCTGGATGATCTGCAGCCTGTGGAGGGAGGAGTTGGGGAGGTTGACAAGTAATGAGTTTGCATAGTCGAGCCTCAGTGTATGAGGAAGCATGTATGAGGGTTTCGGCAGCCTGCAGTGTGAGACAGTTGCGAAGCTGGGCGATGTTGCGGAGGTGGGGGAAGGCAGAATTGGTCATGACGCAGATGTGTAGAAAGGATAGTTGAGGGTCAAACAAGACGCCAAAGTTCCGGACTGGCTCAGTGAGGTGGAGAGTGCAACCACGGATGGTGATTCTGTCAGCACCTGAGGTGAGAAGGCGCCAATGGAGCTCATCAGGAGAGCTTCGGTCTTATTGACGTTCAACTGAAGAAAATTAGCTCTCATCCAAGACTTGATGTCAGACAGACATTCTGTCGGGACAGCAGTGGTCCTGGAGTCGAGGGTGGAGACAGAGAGGTAGAGTTGGGTGTCATCCGCATACATGTGGAAGTTGACCCCATGTCTGCAGATGATGTCACCAAGAGGGAGCATATAGATATTGAAGTAAAGGTGACCAAGGACAAAGCCCTGAGGAATGCTGTATGAGATGTTGCGGGGGCTAGAGGAGAAACTGTGGGGAATGAAGTGGAGGCGGTGTGAGAGGTACGATCTGAAAACTAAGGACAGAGCTGTGAAGGTTGAGGTGAGAGGAGAGGCGGTGGATGAGGATAGAGTGTTCAACGGTCTCGAAGGCAGCAGAGAGGTCAAGGAGGACGAGGCAGAGGATGGCTTGGTCGCAGATGGACAGAATATAATTTGTCACTTTGACAGAGCTGTTTCTGTGCTGAGGGTGGCACGGAAACCGGATTGGAGGGGCCCGTGAAGGGAGTGATGGGAGAGGAAGGAGCGAAACTGGGAAGCAACAACTCGTTTCAGGACCTTGGAGAGGAAAGGGAGGTTCGAAATGGGTCCAGGGAGGGTTTTTTTAAAGGTAGAAGTGATGACAGCAGTTTTCAATGGGGTGGGAACAATACCGGAGATGGGGAGAGATTTATGATGTCAGTGAGTAGAAGGACAAGGAGGTGGAGCTGGGAGGTAAGGCAAAGGGTGGGGATGGGGTCGAGGGAACAGGTGGTCGGTTACATGCAGGTTTTAGTGGTGATGAGAGAGGAGGGGGAGATAGGTTCAAAGGTGTGGAGGGAAGGATGGGTAGGGGCAGGGGTGGGAGGAGGAGATGGGGAGGGTATAGCAGATGCAGTGGCAGAGGCAGCTGAGCGGACTCCCTCGACTTTGGATTCGAGGAAGTTCAGCATCGTCTCCCAGTTGGTATTTGAGGTGAGGATGGATGAGGCGGGAGAGGGTGGGCAGAGGAGTCGGTTTGTGATGGAGAAGAGGAGCTTGGGGTTGTCCTTAGCCTCCAAGATTGTCTTGGAGTAGAACGACGATTTAGCAGAGACGAAGGCGGAGCGGTAGGATTTGATATGGTCCTAACTTTGCCCTCACACGTCATGATAATAATAATAATAATAATCCTTGCATTTGATATAGCGCTTTTCACGTCGGGAGGACGTCCCAAAGCGCTTCACAGAACACACTGTAAAGTGAATTGACTGTATATTTGTGGGCGAACGCGGCAGCCAATTGCGCACAGCAATGTCCCACAAACAGTCGTAGATTGAAAATGACCAATTTATTATTGTTTTTGGTTTTGGAGGGATTATTATTAGGCTCTGTGTGGAGTAAGGAAACTTGCCCAAGGTTTCGCCCTGACCTGCCTGGAATTGAACTCGGGTCTCTCACTTGCAAAGCGAGTGCTCTAACCACTGAGCTACAGGACTCCGATGAGGAGGAGTTGGAACCCTGTTTAATTTAATTTCCTTGATTAACAGAGTCAAGTCAGTTGCAGCCCCACTACATCCCCAGCAGCTGAGAATCACTGAATCGGCACAGACTGGGAACTGAACGTAGAGCCTTTCTGACCTTAATGGTTCAGTGGTTCATGTGATAATGTCACTGAGCCATCATGGGAGCTATTTTTATGGAACATCTATAACTTAAAAAATTACGTTAACCCTCCAATTGTATTTTCTTTCTGTAGAAATTGCGAGAAGGAGTATTCCGAGATCTTGAACGACAAGAGCATAAAAAAAAGAATCTTCGACTGTTGGAAGAACAAATTATTCTGACAAACCAGCTGGAAGCAGATCGAGTGGCATCTGAGAGCATCCAGAAATCTGAGAAGCATAAATCTGATTTTTGATTCTTTTTAAACTCTTTGTTGTTTTGAGTGTTTAATAGATTAATATTTTTTCCTCCAGAACGGTGGAAAGAGTTAATTAGGAATAGGGAAAATCTAACAGTTAGAATTGACTCTCGAGTACAAAGAGAGTTGTCTTGATGGAAGATAATGGGGAGGTAGTAGGCTTGGGCAGTCACCCATTGGTGGAAGAAAGTCCAAGGATGATGGCTTCTGAGGGCCTGGAAGAAGGAGAGGTTGAAGGGGAAACGCTGCTGATCGTGGAGTCTGAGGACCAGGCCTCGGTGGACTTGTCTCATGATCAGAGCGGCGATTCGTTGAACAGTGAGCTTGGTGACGAAGCAGAAGTGTCCTGGCCAGAGGAAATGTCTTATTACTGTGAAAAGTGTCAGAAATGGATACCTTCCGGTATGTATTATTACTCCATATACACCTCTACTAACTGTTGTATTCTGTAACGATAGCCTTCGTGCCTTATATTACTCTGAGCTGTAGCGGAGTGACAGATATTCTAACAATTTGTGAGATGGAAATAGCCAATTGTAATGTTTTTTTTATCAAGAGTTCGCCACAGTTGGCCATACTAAAAACACACAGTTGATCCACTTTACAGTATATCCTGTGAGGCACTTTGAGACATCCTCTTGATGTGAAAGGCCCTATACCAAATGTAAGGATTAATCTAGAGTTAAATCCTGATAACTTGTTACCTCAAGGGAAAAGGGCTCAGTGATGAGTTATCCATTGGTGAGTGAGGCATATGTATAAATAATTCTGGCAGGAATATTGATAGCATGATGACGCAAGTGGTAGCGACAAGTTAAACCGGGTCCAAGTTATCAGGAGTTTACTGTATATTAAATAGTCATATTGGATACAGTCGTACAGGACATGGGAGTCCTGTAGCTCAGTGGTTAGAGCACTCGCTTTGCAAGCGAGAGACCTGAGAAAAATTCCAGGCAGCGCGAAACCTTGGGCAAGTTTCCTTACTCCACGCACCTAATAATAATCCCTCCAAAACCAAAAACAATAATAAATTGGTCATTTTCAATCCACGACTGTTTGTGGGACACTGCTGTGTGCAATTGGCTGCCACGTTTCGCCCACAAATATACAGTCAATTCACTTTACAGCATATTCTGTGAAGCACTTTGAGATATCTAGAAGACGTGAAAAGCGCTATATTAAATCCAAGGGTTATTATATTATTTATTATATTCTTTATTTCTAGATCATCCTTCTTTCGCTCAAGTCATTAGTTTGCTCCATCTGCCTTGTGATAAAAGTGAAGGGTCCCCACCTGATACAATTTTAAAGAAAAGCTTTTCTTCCAATTATCTTGGATCTTGGCTTGTGTTTCCTCCTTAACTAAATTCACCTTAAAAATTCTGATCATTTGGCTACTCATTTCATTGTTTATGAGATACTAAAACATTTAGTTCATTTCCAAGTAATCTCATTCTGTAAAATGCTTTTCCAGTGATCTTTAATGCTCATGTGAACAGGCAGTTTAACATCTCATCCAAAGATGGCATCCCCAACAATGCAGAACTCCCTAGCACTGCATTGGAAGTCAAGAATGTGAGTTCAGAGTCCTAACGTGGGGCTTGGACGCACAATCATCTGATTTTGAGGCAAAACTGCTCCCTAGCCAGACTGACACATTAACGTAAAGCTGATCCTTTTTTCTATCTCCTTCCCTCTACCTCATTATTTGTTTTCTCTTTTGCAGCTCAGCTGAGGGGAGAACAGCCCAGCTATATGAGAGGTGATAACTTCTTCCGTTTCAGTTGCTCAGACTGCTCAGAGGATGACAAGGAACACTTCGACAGACTGAAGTTAACCTGGCAACAAGTATGTTGGATCTTTTTAAACTAATGAATTTAGTAAATATAAAACATATAGAGGTTATTAAACATATTATGAAGTATTGTAGTACAGTACTTTATTTGGTGCATTGAAGATATTGAAGCTGTGGTTCACCCTACCACTCTGCTCCTTCAGCGGGTTTCAACATTATTTGTGAATTTCCACTTCCCGTGTTGAATGTCTGTTTTGGCATGTACCCAAATGCTGAATGTTTAATGTTAATTAGAAGCTCTGTTTATTGTAATACAAAGAGCAAGATTGCTTTGTTTAGCTGGTTGTCTGACACATGAGTAAACCTAAGAGAATGCCACCTACAGGAAATTTTCCTATGTCAGGAATCAAATGTGGACTTCATCCAAGAGGGATGTATCCTTCTTACCTAATTTTGGAAAGTATTAGGCACAGATTGGCAAGAGTGAAGGTTTACACACCATGAGTATGATTCAGGAATGTAGCTGGAGATTAACCAGCTAAAACTGCATAGCTTTATGTAGTTTACATAGCTGCATAGTCCGAAACATTGACTATCCTGTGCCTTGGGACGTCCTCCCGACATGAAAGGTGCTATACAAATGTAATTTTGTTGTTGTTCCAGCTTGGCATTGAGAGCATCAACTTGGACAATCTTACTTTTTAGGACTTTGGTTTCCAGGTTAAAACAAAAGTTGAGTGGGAAGAATCCCTGCCCAAGTCTGCCCTTCCTAGTCCTGCTCTTGAGCCAGGCTGGCTGGTCTGCCCTGGAGTACTGTCGACTCGCCTCACTTAGGATTCCTATTAAAGAATCTATCAGAGAGTCGACTTGATTCCGACATTCCTTTGCCAAGTACATCGATTTGCAGCCTGCGAAGACACGAAAGACCCTGATACCTTTACTACAAACTCCTGGAGGATAGTCTCTAGAAATTGGGATTAGAGAAATTAGGCAGAATGGTCTAATTTTATGCTATAATTTCTATGCTTCTATATTTTATTAAAACCTTATTCTAGCACTTAGTACAACTACTTAAGAAGGTGCATTCCGACCCCTAAACCATCCTGGGCTTCACAGGAGCGTCCCCTGTAACTATTACAAATTCACAATCGCTATACTTGATACCAATTACCTGTGAAGATCTTTGAAACGTTTTGATGTTGAAATTTGCATTAGTAATTTCAATATTGAGGTTGCTAAAATTGAATAGAAAAAGTTGTGAAGTATGGTATGAATCAAGTTAGTGATGTAGTACAGGCAATTTGTATGTAGAAAATGTAATGGTTTTCTCTGTCCCTGTAAATCCTAAAGATTTCGCCCACAAAATATACAGTCACTGCACTTTCCAGTATATTCTGTGAAGCGCTTTGCTTTGAGATGGCTTGAAGATGTGATAAGGTGCTATATCAAATACAAGGGTTATTATTATTTAAGATGCCAGTCTGATTTTAGTGTGCTCTCTCCTAGGTTGTAATGTTGGCCATGTACAACTTGTCTCTGGAAGGGACTGGACGCCAAGGTTACTTTCGTTGGAAAGAAGATATCTGTGCGTTTATTGACAAACACTGGGCCTTCATGTTGGGAAGCAGGTAAAGTGAACACAACATTAGTAATGTACAGGAAAACCTGGTTATGACGAACTTGAGTTCCATAGTTTTAAATTTTTCATTTTAAATGAAGCACAAAAAATGACCATCTTCAGGTCACCATTAACTTCACTTCTCCTATGTTGTGCTATGCTCAGGAAACGCCTCTGCTTGACCGCTGCTTTGTCATTTCTGGTTGTGGCTCCCAAATCAACTAATATTCCAGTGTTTGAATGGGAAAAAATGACTCTTGTCCTACAACTAATCCAAAGCCTTAAGTCTCACATTATTGAATGACATTTTGGAAATAATTGCATCCCAGATTTCTTTGATACTCCCATTGTAGGAGAATAATGTAAAGAAAGGGAAATTTTTGGAGAAAACTGGGGAGGAAAATTGAATGGAATGAGGGTGGTGAGCGAATTATAAAATCAAAATATTTTAGGAATTCAATGTTTTGTACATAAATAGTCCGGAAAGTTCATAACTGTATTCAGATATGTAGATTAAATTAATATTTCTGGGACCTAAAAGGTGTTTGTAGATGATTCTAAGTGACTTACGTCAGTACTGTTTTCCATCATCAGGCCTTTCTGCCCCTACATTCTGGAACTATCCCAAGTCCATCCGTCTCGCCCCACCTCACTTGCCTCCTTAAAGGTCTGCCTCAAAGTCTGTCTCAAGACCTTCCTCTTCGACCATGCCTTCAGTCATCCTCCCACTTTCACCTTCCCTCCCATTGCCCACCACTCCTCTTGACTCCAATCCCCAGCTTGGATGCAAACCCTTGACTGTCCAGAGGCTTGGTACACCTTCCTGACGTGAAAGGCATTATATAAATGTAGTTTTTATTCCTGCCATTTTTAGGAAGAAGACATCAACTTGGTGGAGCACGGTAGCTGGCTGTCTCTCTGTAGGCAGCCCTATGTACTTCCGCTCAGGTGCTCAGCAGTTTGGAGAACCAGGGTGGTGGAGGCTGGTCCACAACAAGCCGCCTGTCATGAGACCGGAAGGAGAGAGGCCATCGAGCACCTCACTAAAGGCCAGAGGTTGGTCCCGTGCAGAAAGTTTGTAAAATCAGAATTTGGAGATAAAAAATAAAAATCCGATATTTGACTCAATTTAAATTAATTTAAAGAAATAATACATTTGGAGAAACATCAGCAAGTTTATCTGATATCATTTGTCTTTAATATTTTGTTATAGTTTTTAAAGAAACCAGCTGAGTTATATATTATAGTGACTTATTCATTGCTTGCTTTAAAGGCTTCATTTTACTTCCTTCACTGCTTCCTTTTAAGCTGTCAAGCCACCGCTGGATCCAATAATTACAGTGGAGGGACTTCGTAAACGAGCAAGTCGCAATCCTGTGGAAACAGCCATAGAGCTAAAGGAGAAACGCTCTCGCACTCAGGAAGCGAAGGACATTCGGAGAGCTCAGAAGGAAGCTGCTGGTTTCATAGACAGGAGTGCTTCGTCCACCCCTGTAAAGTTTTCCAGCAGAAATCGCAGACCAGAACTTATCCTGGAGAAAGGAGAAGTGATAGACTTTTCTTCGCTCAGCTCTTCCGATCGTACTCCACTCACCAGTCCATCTCCTTCCCCCTCACTGGACTTCTCTGCTCCAGGAACCCCACTGTCCCATTCGGCCACTCCCAGTCTCCTTTCTGAAGCGGACCTTATTCCCGACGTTATGCCACCACAGGCATTATTTCATGGCAAGTATTGAGAATCGGGTTCTTTTCCTCCACTTTATATTCTGGTGTAATTGTTCAGTAACAACAGGACATGTGACCATTTGACTATCATAAAGAAATGTTGGTAAAAGTCCATTTAGCTTTCCACACAATGGACTCTAAAAATTAAAACAAGATGTTTGTGTTTAAAATAATGCACTTTATGTGATAAGGAATTTGGACGTGCCACTTTAACTGCCAGGTTTGTTGGTGATGTCAGTTCTGGGGAAGAAATTCCTTGTGCCTGTGAAATGAATCCAGTTTATCGCACCATCCTGCTGGGCATTTGCCCACATACTGTAAAGAGAAAGCTTTTGCACCTGAGCAAATCAAACACAAAGTTGAATAGTCTCATTGATATTGATCACCCAGATATGGGCTGCACTGTGAACTCTGGGTGTCCTGCCTGCCTTGTTTAGAGCTATTCCTGTTTAGAAGATTGTGGACCAGTTCTCCCCAGCATCTTACTTACATGAATGATCAATCTCATGGCAAATGCAATTTTATGTGCCGAGCTCTTCTCTTGTTGAGGCCAATCAAAGTGTAGTTGGGACAGGTCACTTAACAAGACCTCATGGACTTATTGCCACTGCCGCAAAATTGCTTTCAGACCCAGGTTTGAGCAGGTATGTCTGTACACCTTCAAACTGACACCTTCAAGCTATAGTGGCTAATCTCCCTATAGCCAACATTGTGCAGGCCTTTCATGTTTGTCAATAATAATAATCCTTGTATTTGATATAGCGCCTTATCACGTCTTTGAGACGTCTCAAAGCGCTTCACAGAATACACTGTAAAGTGAATTGACTGTATATTTTTTGGGCAAAATGCGGCAGCGAATTGCACACAGCAGTACCCCACAAACAGTTGTGGTTTGAGTGACCAATTTATTATTTATTTTTTTCATTTGTTTTGAAGGAATTATTACCTCCAGAAAAACGATCCGCCAATCGACTTAACAACCGGGTTCCTACTTACTGCTAGGTAAACAGAGGCGTGTGGAGTAAGGAAACTTGCCCAACATTTCGCCCTGCCGGGAATTGAACCCAGGTCTCTCGCTTGCAAGGCGAGTGCTCTAACCACTGAGCTACAGAACTCCACATGTGCTGTTAGTACCTTGGTCATGGTAATAATAACAACAACTTGCATTTATATAGCAGCCCTCACACAGGGTAGCGTCCCATAGCACTTGTTAATAGCCAAGAATATAATGTTAATACAATCTCCTGATTTTAATTACATTTCATAAGCCCAAAGTCATCTTGTTAACTCTATGCTCAGTTTAGAGAAGTTCCGTGTGAGTAAACTGAACACTGCATTGAAATAATTCATAGAATACTTGAATTATTATAGGAATTGGAAATTGAGATAAGGCACAAATTTTGTAACTCACAAGGTTAGTTTGGATGAAGGCCCTTTAACCCTTCCAATCTCATCTCTCAGAATCCCCTCCCTACCATTCTTCCATCACAGCACCAAGCTACTTTTTAAATGTTCTGGCCTCTACCACCCTTCCTGGCAACCTGTTCCAGTCGTTAATTAGCGTCTGGGTAAAGAAAAACTAGTATCCGTTCTGAGATTGCCCTTTGCAATTTAATACCTGTGTCCTCTTGTTCTACTGTATTGGTGTATCCAAAAGTATTGTTTTGGGTTTACTTCAATTTACTGTTAATCTAAAAAACACCTTCAGGAGAGGCAAGAACCTGTGAAAAATGGATTCCTTTTTTTCTGATGCAGATGATGATGAGGGTGATACAGATGGAGTCATTGATCCTGGGATAGAGTATATTCCACCCCCCAGTGTTTCGCTGGCCACTGGCACCATAATAGTGAGCAGGAAGAAAATAAAAGCTCCTGAGCAGATAAAGCATGAGGTGGAGGAGGAGGAGGAGGAAAAGGAAGAGGAGGAGGAGGAAGAGGAAAGAACTGAGAAAATGGAGGTTGATGAACCAGAAGATGCCATCGAGATGCCCCAAGTTAGAGTTCGAGAGCGTAAAAAAGCACAAATTGAGAAGGAAGCAAAAGCACCAGCTCTCAAGTATACAGTTCTCAGCCTGTATGAAGAGAAGCTTCTGCTGCGGAGGCTGGAAGCCTGTCCTCACGCTGTGGCTTTGAGCCCTGAAGCCAAGCGACTGCGACGCAAACTGCTCGTAAGGCAAGCGAAAAGAGAGCGGGGACTGCCGTTCTTTGACCTGGACCAGGCCGTAAGCGCTGCGGTCTCATTAGTTGGTGGTTTATATGGAGCCAGGGAAGGCAATCGAGTTCGGATCCCTGTAGGCCTGGAAACCTTTCAGACCACCAGACAGGACTTTCAGATTTTGGACAGGTACCAGGTGAGGAAGGTGGAAAGCTCTCGGTGGGACATTTTTTCCTTTTGTTTAAGAAAGTCAAAATGCTTTTTGCTATTTCATAGAAAAGATATTAGCAATGTAACATTTTAACAACACTAAAACTACTTTTGATCCTAGGAATCAATCGCAATCAGTTTGCATACACCCATAATGAGTGATTTGTTAACACTTAAGTTCACAGTTGTCCTGGATGTAATCATATTCCACTTAGTAGCAGTTAAAGCTCTGATGTTCAAGGCCTGTCATGTGAACTTCTCTGTCGCAAATGGTTGGGGGATGGGGGGGAGATTACCTCCTACAAATTTGGATACAGTCAATGAGCTAAATATGTAATATTCCACTAAATTCACCCAATTGAATGCTAAGTACATACTGCAGGAGCTTCTGCAGTTGTGAACNTTTTTGATACAGGAATATAGAAACAGGAGGAGGCTATTCAGTCTATCAAGCCACCAGTTTATTGTATCATGGCAGATCTTTTAATACCATTTCCTGCCTTTCCCCCTAAACCCCTTAAACACCCTTCCTTTGCAAGTGTCTTATCTCCTTTTTAAATATCCCAATTAATTCTGCTTCTACACAGTAAATTTAACATTTTCACACACTCTTGTGTGAAGAAATGATTTCTGATCTCAATTCCAACCATTCGAGCTTTGATTTTAAGATTGTCTCCACATTTGGGATCCCTCTACCAGATATAATGTATATGATTAGCAGCTGTCAATTGTAAAGCAACATCGGAGAAGCTGGTGAGCTTCTGAGTACTAACCTAGGGAATGGTCTGTGTAAACCTTACTTCCATTGTCAGTACAGTACAACAGAGAAATTCCTTTCTCCTTAGTACTCTGGAATGTCTACTCCATTAAAGTGGATGGACACTGAGTTCTTTGTTAAATACAAATATTTAAAATAACCCACACATGATTCAGTATATTGACAGAGGGTTAGAGAATTGTGTAGTGTTAGTGTTATTGAGGAGTGAATTTGCTGGGGATCTCACCACTGCCATGAACTGTTACACTGGGGAGTAGAAACATGAGACCACCTGGAACAAGATGCTTAGTAAAAGACTATGTACACTGACCACGTCATATGGCGATGTGATGCACCCCTTGTACAACTTAGATAAACTTTGGCCGAAGTAATGTATTAGTTTTGGACAGAATCACCAACTTGATTTTACAGAGGTTTGCTTCACCATTTGTTTTGATAATAGATGTTTATTTTAATATGAACACTGTTTTATTGGAACCTGATGTTCTCTGGGTATTTTTTAAACTCATCTATCACATTTCCATGATTTTGTTCCCGTACTTTTTCCAATAACATGAAATAGTTTGTTGTATTGTACTCCTTATGTAAACCAAAACTATAGTGCAGTGAATAGAAAAATTACATTGGAATTATGCTCGTCTCAGGGATGTATTTTTTGAATTTTCCATAATGGACTTGTAATGGTGAACAGTGTGTATGTGTATATATAAGGGGTGTGTGTATGTTTCCCCCACAAAATATGCAGTCAATTCACTTTACAGTTTATTCTTGAAGCGCTTTGAGATGTCTCAATGTCATAAGGCGCTATATCAAATGCAAGAATTATTATTTTTAATGTTTAATTATCTTCATTGCTTTAGGAGAGCATTGACATCTGATTCCTCCATTATTCCAAGTATTTATCCATAAAAATCATTCATATCAAAAGCATGAAATTTTATGTTCCAGACATGCAGCGCTTATTTCATTGATATTTTTCCTGAATTGTTTTTTATGTCATCTCTTTGTAGATTCCTTTGCCAAACATTAAGGGATATCAGCACGAAACAACGAGGTTTATGTGTCGACTCACTGGGTCAGGAGACTTGTTTATGAACCACAGCATTATTAGCCCATATACCTCACGGGTCCTCAAACCATACATCAGGTAGAGATTTCTACTACAGTCACAGCACAATTATTGTAGGAGGCTTCACTAATGCTGACAAGGAAACGTGGATTTATTGCAATTTCCCTAATGTACTGTTATTTATATATATTTAAGCAGAAATTCTAAGTATGATAAAGTTGAATGTGGTGAAACATTTGTCAATGGATATTATACTTGGATGAGACTTGTGTGCTGATATAAATGGGAATAGTATGCCTAAATTGTTATCCACTGTATTAAAGCAGTGTATATTTAAATGTATTTTAAATCACTGGTTAACAAATCTGTTATTTTTTACTTTATAACATTGAAATGATTTTCTCCTATTCAGATTGTTCTAAACTTTTTTCTATTTTTCCAATTTAAGACCCTTTTATGGCATTAGTGTTTGGTAAACCTTTACTATTTGCCATAAGTTTTTGGACAAGATCACCTTATACTTAATAAGAAGAATTAACCTGATTCAACATTAAAATTAGGAACCCTAATAGTGGAATAATACTTGTGCTCCAAATCTCTCTGGCAAACTTTCCTGTCTTTCTGTATTACTCATATTAGTATGGACATTACACCGCTGAATTTCTTCCTTATTCCTACATAGTTTTTTCCACATGCATAGTCCTGCACCCTCTTCATCCTCACTAGAAATAGGAACAGGGGTAGGCCATTCAGCCCTCCAAGCCTGTTCCACGATTCTATTAGGTCAGGGCTGGTCTGTACCACTGGGGTCTAAAGAGCAAGATTTGCAGAACGATTTGTAAGTAACAAATCTGGAACTCTGCTAGAATCTGAGCTTCTCTGACAACAATATAATGTATTCCTTACAGAACATGTATGCCTCATTTCTAAATGCATTTTCCACTTAATTTAATTTTCCACTCGCCATATCAACCTGCCCGCTCCGGCCTTCAGCCTCTCTGCCCCGACCCTTTGGAACTCCATCCCTCGTTCCCTCCCTTGCCTTCTTCAAGATACGTCTCAAGACTCTCCTTCGACCACACCTTCGGCCACCGTCCTCCCCTATCCACCACCCCTCCGTATCCCAGCCCCCTGCTCGGGATATCCTCCTGACATGAAGGGTGCTATACAAATATAATTTGTTGCTGTTAATTGCCACATTGGAATGCAGTGTGATGATTTTGCAGGTGACTGTTTTACCTGCTTTCTGCTATCCTAGCAGAAGGCCTCCAAAGTTATTTGGGAAGAATTCAATTTTGTTGTGGTTGAAATGCTTGAGACAAATGATCTTAAAAATAAAACTTTAGCTATTATAAGGATATTTTATAATTTCATTGTTTTTGCCAACAGGCGGGATTTTTATTCCAAACCACTAAAACTTCGATTGCTGGCAGAAATCCGGGGCTATCCCCACAGAAATGATCCCACCTGGAAAGCTGACCTGGAAGCCTCTATTGACTATTGCTACGTTCGCCCTAACTTTATTCCAACGATAAACTCCATGTGCCATGAATTTTTCTGGCCAGGTATGGACTTTTTTTTTTCTCCGACGCTATGCTCATGAAGGGTGCTAAATAAATGCAAGTTGTTTTCGTAGTGTTAGAACAGACCATGATTTTTAAGATGTGAATCTTGTCCATAGTTGCAGCTGTTCTAACCACTGCCATCTTACTACCATTAACGTGCTTGTCCATTTCTTCCTAACTTACTGGCTATTATTCATGCGCGAACACACATAGTGAGCACTGGCAGGTTTTGTGACTTTAGGACTTGAGTTTAGACTAATGTTGTCCTCGCCGATGTCAGTAGTCACATTCCAGCAAGTCCACTGGATGCTGGTTGTTTTTCCCCAATTGTATCATTCACGGTACAGCCCTACCTGAGATCAGATCTGAATCTGGGGCCTTCCTTGTGTGCGTGGATCTGGTAATCATTGAATAAGCATGAGTCATTGGGGAAGCTAAAGAAAGTTTGACTTTGAATCCTTCAGCATTTTATACTTACCTGAGATGTGATACAGAGCAGAGTTCCCATGATTTGGTGTAACATGGGTAACTTGATTCCAGTTATTGAATCTCCACTTGGATTATTTAAATAAGAAATCCTGTTGTTTGAAATTATTTTATGTTAGATCTCAGTGAATATCACATTGGAGGCTCTAATGTCTGAGGAAACACTAGTAATTGATAGTTACATTTTATACAAATGTTAAAATTATTTGAAGATGCTAAAAGTAGTGCTGTTGTCGTAGTCATAATGTAAATATAATAATATTCTATCAGTATTTTTCTGCAAATGAAGTTAAATTATATTTACATGATAAAACACTGCCTGATATAATCTCATTATTATCTGTAATCTCTGGTATTATCTCATTTTAATTCATCCAGGCATCGACTTGTCCGAATGCTTACAATATCCAGATTTCAGTGTTGTTGTCCTTTATAAAAAAGTTATCATAGGTTTTGGCTTCATGGTTCCTGATGTGAAGTACAATGAAGCTTATATCTCCTTCCTGCTGGTTCATCCAGAGTGGAGGAGAGCTGGGATCGCAACGTTTATGATTTACCATCTAATACAGGTATGTAACCAGCTGGGATATTACTTCACGCACAACCACATTATTTTATATTTTAATGATAAACTGAGGTAAGGGTCAGAGCCTATTAATATGCAAGATACATCAAGGTGGAAACGTTACAGGAACAGCAAAAGACCATTTATCTCATTGAGCTACCAGTTTTAGATATTGTGGTGGAAAGGAAGATAAATTATCTAAAATAGATTAACATTTAGCTGCTGGTGTAGACAGTGTGTAGCCTCCATTAACTTCAAAGAAGTGGGCCTCGCCTTTTCTTGAATGTGACCTGTATATCCCATTTCTGTTCTCAGCACCTGAGCCATGTCATTCAGTCCAAAACAACAAATCTTAAAATTACAGCTAAGATGGCTGGCAATGAGATCAGAAAACATTTCTTCATACAGGGTTGTGAAATTTTGGAATGGACCTCCACAAAAGGCAGAATCAATTGGGATGTTTAGAAAGGAAATAGATAGTTGGAAAGTACTTTAACACCCTCAGTTAGATCACCCCTTAACCTCATTCCAGGAAATCTAACTGAGCCTCTCATCATTTTGCTCCTCCAATAGACCTGTATGGGGAAGGATGTGACTCTACATGTCTCAGCCAGCAACACAGCAATGTTGTTGTATCAGAAATTTGGATTCAAAGCTGAAGAATACATCTTGGATTTCTATGACAAGTATTACCCACTGGATAGTAAGGAATGCAAACACTCATTTTTTCTCCGATTGCGCAGATGATGTTTTAAAAATGATCAGAACTGAAACGGCAGCATTTAAGAACCCGCTGGAAGAAGGAATGCATCAAAAGATCAAACTCTCACAAATGAGAGAGATTGGATATTTAACTCACTAAACAAGGGCAAGTGAGCAGGTGTAATTTGACAGATGTCCACAAAAACTGTAACATTTGGGATCATGTTTTAAAGAAATCTATACACTTGAATTTCTTGAGTATGTTTGTTTTTTTTAGTCTTATTTCAAATAAACACGAACCGCGCTATGCTCTAGTAAATGGAATAACTCAATTGTGAAAATTTGCTACAATATTTCAAGCCATCAGCAAAACTAATAAAGGGAAAGGCTGAATGATTTTTTAAAATATTTTGGATGACGCCTCAAAGCACTTGCCAGAATATCTACATCTTACTGAACTACGGGTTTCCAGAATTCGTTCCTAGCTGGACCGGGGCCTGAAACAGAAAATTTTAAAAAATGATCTGCACTGTTTATAATTGGCTATCTGCTGTATATTCAGATCAATAGGTTTTCAGGTGTCAGCCTGGCTCAGTTAATAGCACTCTTGCCTCTTAAGTCAGAAGTTATAGGTTTAAGCTCCATGTGGCAATTTGAACTCATAATATATAATAATTCTTGCATTTGATATAGCGCTTTTCAAGTCTTCTAGACGTCTCAAAACGCTTCACAGAATAGACTGTAAAGTGAATTGACTCAATATTTGTGGGCAAAATAATCGAGGCTGCCACTCTAAATCAGTGCTGGAGGTATGCTGCATTGTTGAACATGCTTTTCTTTGGATGAAACATTAAACCAAGGTCTCACCGGCTTGTTCAGGTAGACTTCAAAGAACCCATGGCACTACTCAACGAGAAGGGAGTTTCTCTTGGTGTCCTGGCCAACAAATCACCCATGTAAAAATTGGTCATTTATCGTGTGGGACATTGGCTGCCAAAATACAGGTAATACATTTAGCAGTAAAATCCTGAATTGCTATGAGATGTTCCCCTAGCATAAGGCACAGATGAAAATGCAAGGATTTTTAATTTTTAGTCAGCATTTGAAATGGCTTTTTGAACATCAGAACAGTCCCTTATAGAAATGCGAAACCTCTCCAAGCAATATGTTTACACATTTCCCACCTTTTCCCAAAGTCAATTAAATGTTAAGAATTTTATACAATGAAAAAGTTGATATGAATCTCTTCAACCGTGGAATTCGTTTTTAAATTTTTTTATTTAAAACACATACATAAATTATATTAGAAAATCAAACCAAGGGGAATATATAATCTTCGGTTTGTTAAAGAATCAATTTTCTATTGAAGCAAGAGATTAAGGATCTCATCTGAATGCTCAGAATGTCAGGGTATGAGGTGCTTCTAGTAAAAAGATGGGATCCTATGGGTAACAACTTATGCCACAGATTGTGTGCATCCCAAACAGAACAAGCCCACACAGCATCCTTATTGATATATCAGTTCTCGTTATATGGTCTTGTCAGTCTCACTTTGAAAATGCATTCTCCTAGCACAAATGGTATTAAAAAAAAATCTGCTAGAGGTTACCTCATAAGCCTTCTGATCAATATATTTGAGCCTCAGGAAAGGATTAATACACGTCCAGTCCGACATGCTTCGGCTTGGTAAGTTTGTCCAACATCCCTTGCCCCATTTTTGCAGTAAATAAGGAGACAAGTTGGTCATTACCAGTCTTGACAGCCAAGTCATATGCTGTTAAACCTTTATCGTTTTTCTTCTTTAAACTTGCATTACAGCTGGAAAGCAACAGGAAAAAGTAAAAGTCTGGATTGTGACGTGAAATAGACTAATTTAATACTTTTTATCCCTTTCCAATTTTTCTCTTTTCTCTTGCAGTCAGTGACTTGCTGATATCTCCCCAGGTATCTGTTAATATCTGTTGAAAGACTCACACCCAGGTCCAAAACTGTCTTCATCCAAAATTTGGACACGCAATACTGCATGAGTCACTGCATAGGGATCGGGAGCAGGAATTGCAGCCAATACTACTCTTTCTCTTCCCATCACCCCATAAGCACACTTGTAATGGTCCTGCCACAACCAAACGGAAAGGAAAAAGCTTACCCAAGCAACATGTCCACACATTTCAAACCCTTTGCCCCAAGCTCTGCAGCTTCATGAAGAGCAGTGTTATTCAAGCTACATTTGGAAGAAAGCAGAAGGAAAGAAAAATGATACTGCTTTAAAAATTAGTCTATTGTAATTCTTACAATAACCATGCATTACATTTCTCGTAAATTAGTCCATTGAGCCTATATGGTTAGCTCGTCCATTGGAGCTCAATACTTTCCTGTACTATTTGATATGGTTTCCCTTCAAACCCTCATTTAAATCCAATTTAAAGGCTGTACTCGTCCCCCTTAGAAATGTCACCTGCAAGCACTTTTATCTCAATAGCTTTATGTAGCAAAGAATTCCATGTTGTAATGATCTTAAAAGTGAAACAATTCTAACTTCCCCTTTTAGTAACAATCCTGAGCTTATTCCCCCTTGTTACCAAATACCATAGGTAAATTGAAAAGAAATTAGTAACTCCACTCATCATGAATTGTACAAAGGTATGTGTACATGATCAAAGCCCTTCCATTTCCTTCAGACACAGAGGAAGATAAAAAGTATGACTCAAAATGTTCCACTTACAGCCCTGACTGTTGTTCAATGTCTGCTCCCTTTTGCACCAAAACTGGGATCACTTCATGATGCTGATTCAAAACAGCAACAGTTAAGACTGGTCTGTTTTCATTGTTAGTGCAGTTTGGATCTGCTCCCTGCAGAAGGTCAAAAAATGGAAAGCAAATAGTTTCATAAAATAGTGTGGCAGGTAGGGTAAAATGTATTATCTACCACTGAACACTGGCTTGCTTCATGTCCCCTGCCCTAGTTGTCTCACAATCAGCAGGCAAGGTTTCTGCCATTTCTGCCCAAGCTCCAGGATTGAACTCGTGAGTAATTCACTCCCTCTACCCACATTCATAAGCTCGCCTCAAGACGTACCTCTGACCATATTTTTGGTCATCTTTCACTTCCCCCTCCTTTTTGGCTTTTACCCCCAGCTTAGTTACCCAAGTCAACAGTGTAAGGTGCTTTGAGCTATCCTTCCAATGTCAAAGGCACTATATATATTCTATTGGACTTGGATTTAGTCATAATTCCTAAAAAAAAACAGAATAGTTGAACTTCTTAATATATGGAAATGCTCTTTGTAGCTTAGAGGAAAAAATAACAAGCTACAGGAGTACTGTGTGGACTGGCAGACAAGCCTTGTGAACCCATGTGTTGCAAAGGTTTGGAATTGTGAAAGTGCATTGTACACTCACTCAGGTTGAGTCAAATACAACAAGAAGATTACATTTGTATAGCGCCTTTCATGTCGGGAGGACGTCCCAAGGTGCTGAGAACTAGGTTGAAGATTATTCACAACTGAACATCATATCACCAAATCCGTTTCCCAAACCAAATAACTTTGTCAAAACCCGGTTCATTTTTACACTGAGGGCATTTTCTCCTTCTCTCACACTATAGGTTCAGCCAGTACGACATTTAAATACCCAATTGACAGTCACACCCTCATTAATAGGAACACCTGACCATTACCAGCAAAGCCCTTTCCTTAAAGGGGTCAAACCCAGGATTGGACTTGTAGTCCCATCACAGAGATTGTGACTCAAATTGTAGGGAAACTAAAATCCCATTGAATTGGAAAGAGATTGATCAGAAATAGCAATGACTTACTTCGTCAAGCAACTCCTGTATTACTGAGATTCTCCCATCACCGTTTGATCCTACTTCCGTAAGTAGCTGTCTATCATCAGGCTTCATGGAGAAGAGAAGTGTGCCAGAAGTCAGTTCATAGCAAACAACTGGATTTAATGTGCAGCTTACAAGAAATGATATTCGTAGTGATCTTATGACCAGAGAATGAGGGGGAAATTAAATCAGTGATCCCACTAATTGTGTCTAGTTAATTCTACTCAAAAGTCTGAAAATGTGGATGTCAACTGATCCGTCTTAATTGAGTTTTCCGCCCATAGTCATATAATCTGCTATTACATCATCTAGAGTCACAGATAAAGTATTCCAGTGGGAAAACATTGACAGACAGTAGCAGGTGCAGACACACCAAGCAAATGTAAGGAACTTGGGAAGAGAAAGAAAAATGTGAAACATTTTCCAGCCAAGATTGCTGCTCCCAGGAACACTATCGACAGTATTTAAGTAACTAGTCGGATAGGCATGATGGTAATCTGGAATGACACTCCCTCAGGATTCTCCTTCCCCAGTTGACATACACAGGATTTACACTTACTGTAAATTGAATCAAAATCCACATTCCAAATATATTTGTCCATCTTAGTTCAGACATTCAGAGAGACAAGAGCTGTGCAATGGCGCTAATCACAGACTAAGTTGGGGGTTATGTTAAATGTTGCATTTAAAGCATTACTGTAAAGATATTAACCGGCAGTCTGTCTTCCTTTGTTGCAACTGGTTGTGTCTTCTTTGCTTTTTTCAATTTCTTGTTTGCTTCTGTTTCACAGAAAATGTAATAGAAACATTACATTATTGAGGCTCACAACCCATCACAATGAATCCTATAAGACTACAATTATATTTCTCCACACAGTCCAGTTTTTTTTAAAAAAACACAGAAAGTTTCACTGGTCTAATTTTGTTTAATCAACATCCAACTTGTATGCAACAGTGAGGTCTAAATTGCAGTATTTCCTAACAGAATTCCTGCATAATGAATCCTGTTACAATCCCTGTCAACCTGTCGGAGCTCTGCTCTGGAACTAGATTGTGTTCAGTGGAGTTGCTGTGGTGCAATGTACCTCTAGTGCTGGGAGTCTCCATTTATGCAACTCAGATTGTCTTCATTAAAGAATAATGCAAATTAGACCCACTGTTTATGCAAGTGATTTCACTCTACAATATACATTACTTTTTTGTTGTTTTTTTGATGAGCTGGGTAAATTACATGTACTTAACCCCATCACAGTTCTTAAGAGATCTAAACCAGACAGAGTTCTACATGCGTATTCAACTTATTCTTGTGTGAGCATTCCCTTGTGTGAAAGACCATCTTCAAATGTGTCATGTAGAGATTTATTTTAAAAATATTTTAAAGCACAAAGCAGGGCCTCTACACAACTCCACCTTAATATCAGACATAAGTACCACATTTTCTTCAACTGCTTGTTTCAGGCAGTAATTGTTATTTTACCAAAGATAGCTCAGCATACAGGCACAGCACTCCTGAAGCTAAATATTGCGAGTTCCATGGCCTCCTTTAGGCGCAAAACGCACGGCACTATTCAGCTACAACAAAAACTTACCCAAATCAGTGTGGCTGCCATTCAGACTGTCTCTGCCCTCAGTTATGCTGCTGAGGAAGTTTTTCTCTGAAAGCTTTATTGATTTCCCAGTTAGAAGGTCCTGCTAGAAAACCAACCACAGAGATGCACTATGTATTAGGATTCCACACTCCAACAAGCTTGTCATTTTGCTACAGAACAGGTTGCTTCCCAGCTTACACGACAGCTCTGTCTTCTGCAGAACTATGAATGGTAACTGTGCCCAATACTTTTTTTATTAAACAAGTGCTCTTAAATTTCTTACTGCACTTCCTTTTTAAAGCCTTAAAGTTAAAGTATGTTGTATTGTGGCAGACAGTTCATAATGGTCAATGCACATTAAAGTATGACATTTAAAAAGGGTAAAACTCTGCTAGTAAGAGACATGCAATACAGTACTCATTTTCAGTTTCCCTCATTGACAAAACTTGCATTTTGGGGTTATCCCTTATTGAGAAGGACGTACAACAACAACAACAAAATTACATTTGTGCAGCTCCTTTCATGTAGGGAGAACATCCCAAGGCGCTGGACAGACAAGAGTTACGGACCCGAGCTATGGGTCGTGGTGGGGAGGGTGGAGGGCAGGGGGGGGAAGCAGGGAGATCAAAAGCACAGTCGAAGAGGAGGGTCTTGAGATGGGTCTTGAAGATAGTGAAGGAGAAGGCAAGACGGAGGGACTGCAGGATAAAGTTCCAGAGGGTGGGGGCAGAGTGGCGGAAGGCCTGCCTGCCAATGGTGGGGCAGGCGAGGCGGGGGACGTGAAGCAGGCCAGAGTCCGCTGAGCGGAGGGAGCAAACAGGATGGTAGGGGGCTAGGAGGTCGCAGAGGTAGGGGGGAACAAGACCACAGAGGGCTTTGAAGATGAGGACCAGGATCTTGAACTGTATCCTCTGTGTGATGGGAAGCCAATCGAGTTGGTCAAGGATGGGGGTGATAGGGTTGCGGAGCCTAGTGCGGGAGAGGACACAGGCTGCAGAGTTCTGGATGATCTGCAGCCTGTGGAGGGAGGAGTTGGGGAGGCCGACAAGCAGTGAGTTTGCATAGTCGAGCCTCGATGTAATGTAGGCGTGTACACAAAGCAGATCCATAAAGAAACCAGAGCATTGTCTATGTCTTATGATCAAGCTGGATACCAAATCAGAGCTTGAGACAGAAAACGTCTGTGATGGCTGTTATGAACTTTTCCCTACTCTGGGTCATCAACTCCTATGATCAAAAGGGCTGAGTTTCTTCATGGAACTGTTGTCTGACACGTCTCCATCTCATATTCACAAAGTAGTATTGTAGTGAGAAGACATAAAATACTGGTTCTCTGCCCACTGTTGAAATATACAAAATATCAAAAATAAGGATATAATTTATCAATCTGAGGTAATGATCAAAACCACAGTACAGCCAAACCTGTTCAAGTAACCACCTTTCATTCAGCAACTACCCCATGCAAACAACCATTCTAGAACAGCCAGGACACAGATACAAAACACAGAAAGAACTCTTACTCAGAAGCCATGCTTATACAAATGCTACTTTGGCCCAGTCCCACGAGTGGGTGTTGAAGACAGGTATGACTGTACGTTTTTAAGAGGCTATGAAAGTGGTGGAGGGGAGGCAGCAAGGTAAAAGATTTGGAATAGAGTTCAGTGGACAGAGTCACAGTGAAGACTTGGCCGTGAATTGTGGGTCTTAAAGTGATGAACATTGAATAAACCTGAATCATTCGATCTCACATAAAACTTTAAAGAAGGGTTTAATATAAATAGCCACAGCCAGAAACTAATTAGAGGTTGTGGAATTACATCAACCTGGCAGATAACCAGTAAACAGACCTGATCTCCAGCAAGAATGAAATTCAGACTGAGATTTAGTTCATATCCATCCTCATGGACCATAGCTGAAATCATCTGAAAGCACAGAACAAGGATAAGACAAAATAAAATCAATTAATCGCTTTGAGTGCCAGATTATACTTTGCATTAAATTATCCTCTAAATAACATCCAATAAATGAAACAAGTCGAAAGCAAATCACAAAGCATTCTTTGTTTTCCATCCTTCACAACATGATCCACTTATCTTGTTTTCTTATCCTGCATCCCTATGTGATCAAGCTTCCATTCTTCCCAGTAAATGAGATTGTTTATCTTCAAATTAGTCACAAATTAGGAGAGATTTGTTTTCTTTAAAAATAATCAGGTTAACATATTTCTAGAGTCAAAGATCCAGGACAGTGGATTGAAGCAACCTGGTAAAGAGATAAGCAGCAAGATTCCAACACTACAAACAAATAATTACTAGTACAGCCCCAACAAACAAGGTTTTAAATAAGGCAAAATGGTGTACATTATACAGTGTTCACTTTAATATGAGATATACTCCTTTGTGTTGAATTTACTCAAAGATTGAAATCAGACTAAGAGAGAATTTTCTGATTCTATTAGTCCTGCATATGCTGTAATGGAAATTTCTCATACAATATTTGAAGGCTCAAAGATGTACATAAGTTGCTATCTCCATCGTCCCAGCTTTGTCACCACTTCGAGAGTTGCCAATTTAACAATTTTCAAACTTCAATCACTGGAACTCCCTTGTAATTACCAGCACTTGTACAGTACAAATCATGATCTGCAGGAAACGTACTAGATGTGTCTGAGTGGCACTAATGAGAGAAATGACACTAAAGGCACAACACAATTTATAAATAATAATAATAATCCTTGCATTTGATATAGCGCCTTATCACGCCTTCGAGACATCTCACAGGGCTTCACAAAATATACTGTAAAGTGAACTGACTGTATATTTTGTGGGTGAAATGCGGCAGCCAATTGCGCACAGCAGTGTCACACAAACAATCGTGGATTGAGTGACCAAATTATTATTATTTAGTAAGTAATTAATTGAAGGGATGATTAGCCCCAGAAGAGCGATCCACCAATCAACTAACAACTGGGTTCCTATTTACTGCTGGGTAAACAGGGGCATGTGAAGTAAGGAAACTTATCCAATGTTTTGCCCTGCACAGGAATCAAACCCAGGACCTCTCGCTCAAACCACTCAGCTACAAGACTCCATAAAGAGTATGACAAACCACACTATAGAAGATGAGGCTCTTAAAATCAGACTCCTCCATTGTTCTTCATTGTTGGATTACCTCAGATGTCCATGGTATGTACAGAAAACAAAAGAATTAAGAACATTTTAATTAGTGTTGAAAAAATGGTTCAGGTTTACCTTTCCCATTTGAGGTTCCCCAATAAGAGCCCTGAACTCTGTGTTGTTCTGTGCATAGCTTCGGAGATGTGCACAAATGTGATCCAGCTGTTTTCTCCAAAATCCTGTTATGAAAAGTAAATACCAACTGTCAGAAATTATTCTGGATAGTCCGCACCTTATGAAGGGGAGTCTGATGAGCAGCGAATTAGCAAAATTAATCCTGGATGTGATGAATGCATGGATGAGGGTCGAAGCAGCCTGAGGGGAAAAGTAGTGACGGGGGTGGGAAAATATTTCGGAGGTGAGAGAAATCTGAGTGGGTCAGAACATGTATATGGGGTTTAAGTACAGTTGGGAGTGAAACAGACACCAAGGTTCCACACAGACACCAAGTAGCATAACCTTTATCTTGACATTCAACTACAGAAAGTAAGAGCTCATCCAAGACTTGGTGTCTGACAGGGGATAGGTCAGAACAGCAGTGGTCCTGGAATTAAGGATGGAGATAGAGGTAGAGTGTGGGACATCCGCATGAAATGGGAATGGGAGGAGGGGAACTTATTTTGTAAACAATTCTTTCAATGTAGTAGTGCGGCTAAAGATGATTAAAGTAATACTATTCAGTGCACCTGCAGTTCAAAGTTAAGATCTTTTAAGGTTGCATAAAGTTCAAATTTGGAAAATATACACAATCTAGATAAAACCCAGATTTCCACTCTTGTAAGTAATAAACTGCACCTCTTCCAGGGCTAACTGCTGTCAGAAGGGGGCGCCGATCACTCATTTTCTCTCGCTTTTCACGTTGAGACACAATCTCGATTTCCTTCTTCTCCAACACCTTGCAGGACGGATAAAACAATCCGACAGTCTGAGTACCCTGGTCCACTTTATTAGATTCTGGCCCAAACTTTGACAACGAGATGGCCATTGGCTGCCAGGTTGCAGAAGATCGCACGTCTGTGGTCTGTTTAGAGTCAAATAATAATACATTCATGGGTTAGGGGTCAAGCCGGGGGCTAAGCCTGGGACATAACCATGGTTGAGCTAGGGTCTAGCTGGATGTCGAGCTGAGGGCAGGTGGTAATTTGAGCTGGGGGATCACCTTGAGAGGGAGGCAGATGGCGGCATCCATCTGGTAATGAGCCGGGAATTGTGTGGGGTCAAGTCAGGCGCTGAGCCCGGGGATCGCAGATCAACTGGGGACCAGACGGGGTTGAGCCAGGTGACGGAGCCGGTGATTGAGCCGGGGTCCAGGTGAACTGGGGGTGGTCGAGTCGGGGGCAGGTGGCGAAAGTCAAGCTGGAGATCTAGTAGGTGGCGGGTTGAGCTGGGGTCCGGTTGGGGTGAACTTGTGGTAGATGATGATCGAACCATAGTGGCAGGGGCCGAGCCTGGAGCCTGGTCGGAGTTAAACCAGGGTTAGGCCAAGGAAGCCAAGGTAGATGGGGTCAACCGGGGGCAGTAGAGCCAGGGTCTCGTCATGGATTAATCAGGGCTTGTAGGGTGGAGATGGGAGAGCAGAGGAAGGCAAGTAGCGGGTCTGGTCTGAGCTGGGATGAGATCAACCAGTGGGCGGTGGAGCTGGGGCCCAAGCTGCGGTCCAGATGAACTGGGGATAGTTGGGCCAGGGCAGGTGCTGAGGGTCAAGCTGGAGATCTAGTTGGGGTCAAGCTAAGGCTGATGGTTCAGTGTTAACAATAGACATAATCTTTAATTCTATACAATCTTTTGATGGGGAAACGCTAGATGTACTTGCTGTTGAAGTAGTAATTTGGTTGTGATTTTGTTCCCAGTATTTGGAAACTCCAGATCAATCCTGAGACTAACCTCCATTAAAGTTCTAAGGTTTCAAGATCGACTTCAAGATCCTCACACTCGTGTTCAAACCCATTCACTCCCTGGCACCTCCCTACCTCTCCGACCTCCTCACTCCCCAATCCACCACCTGGCGCCTCTGCTCGAATGCTACCGGTCTCCTGCTAGTCCCTCGCACCCTCCGGCCCACCATCGGAGGTTGTACTTTCAGCCACTACACCCAAAACTCTGGAAACACTCTCCCTCAATCCCTCCACCTTGCTTCCTCACTCCCCTCTTTCAAGTCTCGCCTGAAAATTTCCCTCTTCGACCTTGCTTATAGCACCTCCCTCCTCCCCCTCGGCTCAGAGTCAGGCTCTGCCACTGTTAAGCGCTCTGAGACACTACCCTGAGCGTGGAGGGCACTATATACATGCAAGTTGTTGCTGTTGTTTCAAGCTTTCCTATTGTCAGTCTTTGTGTGACTCAGGAGGAAATAATGAATCTCTGTGAGACCACATAATGATACTACACTTCATCTGCAGCTATTTATCTGCAGGTATTTATCAAATTTGTTTGTCTGCCCAAAAATGGTAATGCTTCTCACGATTGCAAACCAATAACAATCTGCTCCGGGTAAGTATACCATTTCAGTAGACTTACTGCTCCTAAATGCTACTGCTCTAGAGCCGTACTACATGTAGCTCTTATAGCTGTGCTACTGGGAAAAATGCCAAGCAGAATGAGGTATTTCCCTTAAGTATGTCATCATATCCAGGCTGATCATCATGTAAGATCTGCAGTCAACGCAAAGGTGAAATCTTGTGTCATCTATAGCTGTAATAAGATTTGTCTGTTGCAACTCTTCCGTTCAGCTCCACTATTTCAACTTTGGCTAGCTGAGATCTATTCCTTCATTTCCAAGGTTTTTTGTTTAAAAATTGAGAAAAGCTATGGTAAGACCAAGGTTCATAGTGCAAGACACCACCAAGAATTGGAGCAAGAACTAGTCAAACTAAGTGGTTGCAGTAGTTGGTTGCGATCAAGTTTAGGTTTTAAAATTGTATAGATTGTAAGAGGAAGAGAAAACTGATGAAAGCAACAATAACAACTTGCATTTATATAGCAAGGAGTTCTACAGTATTCAAGTACTGGGAAGAAATTATTTTAAGTAAACTGTCCAATGCATTTTGACTTCAAACAATAAAGAAGCAGGAAAGAAAAAGAAACTGGACAATTACATATTTGGAGTTTGGGGAAGAACTCCCAAGGAGGAAATGTCAGATCACAAGGTTAAGTGAAGAAGGTTCTTCAGAGCTCATACTTACAGAGTATCTATAAAGACAGCAAGCATTTTCTTGCTTTCTGCCCAGCAATTTGAGAAGAGCCTTTCCATCTATGGGAGTGGGATTCAAGTCTTGGACAAACAGCCTTTACAGAATAGAGGGAATAAAAAATGTGGATACAGGGGAGGAAATGAAGGAGATGTGAAAAAACAATTTGATATTATGGGAAGTAGTGAGACCAAGAATGTTGATAATGAAAGACTGAGAATGGAGCCATTAAAAGAATGAGAGGTGGCAGCTCTTGGTTGAACCTGCACAAGAAATGAAGACAAATAGTTGAATTTCATTGCTCCAACAAATGGATCATAGAGCAAGGTTTAATGATTCAGCAATTGCCCTGGGAGAGGAGTGCAAGTTATGTACACTGAGGAGATATCCGTGATTTTGAGGCCACTTCAGTGGGACTTACCTCAGCCAGAATAGTAGACTGGCCAGTGCTAAAGAGCATGCTGTTTCGGGGATCCAGCCGTGCTGGAGGTTCCAGATAAGCACCACAGGATCCACAGAAATAAGCGTAGGGGTGGTTCATTCCTCCACATTTTAAGCACTTCAGGCAGCTTGTGGGTGCAAAAGGCTAGAACAGATAATTTGTAATTAAGCTTCTCAATGGAGTCCTGTTGCTGATTTCCTTGGGTAGTCTAAATATCTTGAGGTTACAATTTGGTGAAAATCTAAATGCTTCAATTTCAGTTTAGCCCAATCTTTTATGTTAATTAAGGAAATGAAACATTAGGGATGTTACATTTAAATTCCTGTTTACAATAACTTTTGGACAAAGTTTAAAGAACTGGTTGCTCAAGTTTAAAAATGTAATAGTTTAAAATATTTTAAGATTAACAATTTTGTATTGATCTAAAGTGTTATCAGATCGCACCTCTAACAAGCTCTTTTATAAATCAAAACTAGAATTTGTTTTTTTTCCTCAATAATAAATATCCTTTCAGATTATTTTATTCTGTTGAATGTTTAACACACACAAAGCAATGTGCACAAACAGCCTCTGAAGTGCATGATCAATATTATCTGGAGGATTGCTGACCAGGACACTTCTTTTTGGAAAGAAGCATTTTGGAAAGGAAACATGACCACCTCAACAAACAGACAGGACCTTGGTTTAACATCTCACTCAAACGTCAGCACCTCTAACATTGCAGCATTTCCCGATCACAGAACTGAGCATCAGTCCAAACTATGATCCAATTTGGGGTATGAACTCACAACTGTCAGACACTGAGGCAAGAGAGCTACAAGCTAAGATAGGTGGAGAGAATAATGTCCAAACATTTCTTGTTTGGATTTTGCATACCTTAGCTCCACACCAGTCACAGAAACGAGCATTGGTGTTGTTAACCCGGCCACACTTAGAACAGGCCAGCATCTTCCCCTCTCGACTTGGCAGACGTGGAGAGGAACCTCCGTTGGAAACAAGCTGTTTTTGTTTAAAATAAAAGATAACTACAGTCCAAGTATAGATTCACTGCTATAAATAAAAACAATTTTAAGTTAAAAAAAATTAAACAGTATTACATTTTGAAGCTTCAACTACATATCTTAAATAGCAGGATTACCGTTACTGACACAACCTCAAACCTCTCAGAAATGAAATCCCTTTGATTTGGGGGAGAAAAGGCTGAGTGCATCTGGGCTTAAGAGACATCCTTGCTTGTGAATGGAATTCTTCTCTACCTTGGTACAATATGCTATCGGGGTACTAAATGGTGTGATTTATAAAATGATTATAGAATCCTGCATGCACATGGATATTCTCATAAACCGACTGAAATTCTCCACTCAGCTGCACTGCGATCTGATATCACAGTTGGAAATGAGATTGTTTTTTGGCGTTCTGTCATGAGATAAATTCTAGGTTTAGAAATCCTTTGATGAATTCCAGCCAAGGATTCTCTCAAATTGATTTCAGATAGAGGCTAATAAACAGAGCTATCCAAAACTCGTAACTTACATTGGGTGGACTTGATAAGCGTGTCTCACAGGTGACACAGAGATGGACATTAGCTGGATTTCCTGTCCCACACGATCCACAAATAATCTTGTCCTGTTAAAAATGTATATATTGCATAATATATTGCATAACACTCAATTATTCATCCATTCATTTTTATGTAAGACACTATTAGTTTACAGTGTTAACAGTGACATGGCGTGTCACTGCCATACAGTTATTCTATAATACCCACAAACAAACGTGCAACTTGTACAATGGATTGTATGGGGCATTTCAATAGTAGTTGGGATCTGTTATGCACTATATATAAACTATTTGTGAAAGTGTGTGTTATACAAAGAGGAAATGAATGGTGCCCTTAGTTAGGTAATCAATAGCTACAGATTTTTATTGGTTGTTAACTACATAATAAAGAACATTTGTAATTTCCCTTGTGCATAAACACATGGTATAACACACCCTCCATTGTAAGTCAGTCACTAAGTCAGTCTGGAACCTTGTAATCGTGTTTGACCCTCAACTATCCTTTCTACCCCACATCTGTGCCATGATCCACTCTGTCTTCCCCCACCTCCGCAACATCGCCCAGCTCCACCAGTCTCACACCGCAGGTCGCCAAAATCCTCATACATGCTTTCATTACATCAAGGTTTGACTATGCAAACTCCTTGCTTGTCGGCCTCCTCAATTCCTCCCTCCATAGGTTGCAGATCAACCAGTCCCTCCGCCTCACCCCCTTCAAGACCCATCTCAAGACTCTCTTCGACCGTGCTTTCGATCACCCTACTTCCTTCCCTGTCCTCCACTGTCTCTGATCCTGACCCCCAGCTCGGGTCCGAAACTCTGACTGCCAGGCGCCTTTGGACATCCTCCTGACGTGAAAGGCGCTATCCAACTGGAATTTTGTTGCTGTCGTTGTTGTTGTTATCAGATTCACTAGAACACAGCAAATGTTATAATGAGGGATGCTTTACAGTGAAAGCCATAAGCTTTCACACCAACTTTATCTTTGAAAGCAGGCACGCCAAAAAGATTTCTATCAGATCGGGTTATATGAACCAACTATGAAACTATCCTCTCAAAACTACAAAATGTCTGAGTGTTAGGTGCTGAGTAGCACTGCTGACATGCTTTATCTCAAATGTTGAATTTTGAATGAATTTTTACACCTGGCAAAAGTTTTAGCAAACACAATAAAACAGAGTGTTTTTAAACGAAATGGATATTTGCAGATGTGTTCAAAATGAGTTTGACATGTCTGCCTGTATTTCTGTCCAGTGAATAGTACATGATGTTATTACCTTGAGACGTATGCTAGCCTGAGGCTGCAGCTGGGGTGCTATAGAGGCTTCGCACACAATGCATGTAGGAGTGTTCAGTGGGACCATTGACTTGCATTCCATGCAGAGCCCCATCTGCAGCAGAATGGGAGATTGTATCAGTGACTTGATAAATAGGAATCTGTTCCCTCACGTGTCTCCCATCCTATTCACCCACAAAATATAAAGTTACTCTACTTTACAAAACATCCTGTGAAGCACTTTAAAACATACTCCCAACAGGAAAGGCACTATATCAAATGTAAGGATTATTGTATTTGTTATTCCCCACTACACAGTTGTGAGTACCGATCAAAGAGAACTTACATTCTTATCGCATTTCTTTATCACTTTGAAGAGTCACAAAATGTTTTACAGTAATTATGGTCAAGTGTAGGACTTTGACATGGTAGGCAAATGTGAAAAAATAAACCATGAAACAAAAAGATTTGGAGTTGAATGGAAATGATGAGCCTGCACACAACACCAGCAATCAAACATAGGCCATTCTGATTGTTTCTTTATTGGCAATGGTGCTGCAATAGGTATAGCTTATGTTCCAGCACAGCTGCAAACACACCTGAGCAGGAGCAGGAGCTACCAGCATAGCCTTACACAACTGTGGTCTGTCTTGAGTATCAGTTGTTACATTACCAAAGCTAAAGTTTTTATTTTTTTCTGGTACCAACCTGACCTCCTTCAGGAGGTGGAAGCCTCGAACCCGGCACTGGAGGAACAGGAGAACCACATTCCTGGCAAAAACGTGCAAAAGGATCCGATGGACGGGAAGCAAGGCAATACGCACATCTAAAGGGAAGAAGATTCAATTGGAAAAGGCTTGCTTAAGAAAAAATAGTGCATTCCCTCCCCACCTCCCCCTTTTCCAAAGAAAGACAGAATATTCAACAGAGTACAGAGGCTGGTCAACTATCTCTCCAGTCAAAACTCCCTGTTCCTTTTGCAAAGTACTATGAAGTTTTTAACATCCACCTTAAGAAGAGGCAGGCATGAACTTTAGTTTATTATCTCATCAGAGGACAGTACCTGTGACTCCGCCATGTTTCTGCCCTGGAATATTGTGTTAATCCTTGTGTCCTTTTGTGTCCACATTGAGTTTGTTTCTTTTTAAAGAACAAGGTAATTTACTGGTAGAGAAATAGAAACTGTTGATGTCACCATTGCTGTAACCCAATGGCCATGCAACATAGCATTTGTTTGGGTATCACACTTCAATCTCTCAAATCCCAGCCCTAAAACCTGCCTGTAGGAAGCACATACAAAAAACAAGACTGAGGGAAAATAAGCAGAGACGTACAGCATGAAGAGATAGCATTTGGTCATGTTGCAAGGAGCTTGATGTTTAGCATTTTATAGCAGATCTGCAAAGCCATCTAGAGATGTTCAAGCTATTGCAAAATATACTTTAAATAAAAGCAGATTTATGTTAGCAAGATGCCTGCAGTCTGTAAAATAGTAACATACTTCAGAAAGTCACTCGCCCTCAGAATTCTCATGGTTTGAGTGCTGCTCAGGCTCTTGTAAGGACTGACATCAATGGAGGCAGGAAACTAGGTAGTACAGAGAAGGCAAACATAGGTATTATTCTCCATGTAATTGAAAGTGCTGAATGCAATCATTAGAAATATTATGAGTCATTCTTAACTTTTGGATTTCTTTTTCTTAACCTCTTATAAAAATGTCACACATAAGAAAGAAGGAAAGAACTTGTATTTTTTATAGTGCTCGAGCACATTAAAATGTTTTCAAGTTTAGTGTCTGAGTTTATAACAAAATGTGATAACTAATTTGGACACAGCAATAAACCATGAGATGAATGGCCAATTTATCTGGAAGATTGTTAGCTAGAACACCTTGGAAAACTAACTCCCTAGTCTTTTGAATACTGTCATGGAATCATTAATGTCCATTTGAGAAACAGGCAGATAGTTTAATGTCTCAACTCAAAGACAACACCTCCAACAATTCAGCGCTTCCCCCAATAATGCGTTCTAGTGTCAGACTACCTTCTAAACTCATCCCGATGTGGGGCTTTAACTCACAACCTTCAGATCTAGGGATGAGAACACTACCAAATGAGACAAGATGAAATAAGATCTCAGTATTTAACAATAAGATGATATTGCTAATTCTAAGCATCATTCAGTTAGTACATACCTGTGACTTGTGGGATTGATGTCCTGAAGACTGCTCATGTCCAAGGGCTGGGGTTCCCAAACGGCTGTTCAAGAAACGTGGGCCTTTAAACGACTTGTGATGACTGCTACCCTCTCTCTTCGACTCTGGTAAAACATGTACATTGAAAATGCATCATCTCTGCCTATCTATGTCCAGTTCAGTCTCCTTTTGAAATTCTGAACAATATATATTTACCAACTATTAGCCTGCTTTTCTTAATAAAACTCCCATTTCCATTATTCTGCAATGGTTACAAATTTGACTTAACTTACAATTTTTTTGTTTTGAGGTGTTAATCTGGTAATACAATGACAAAATAGTGATCTATCAATAGTTTGGAAAGTTTTTTTTAAGTATGTTCCAATAGTTCACTCACTTGTAGTAAAATGTGTTCAATAAGTCCATTGGATAATAGTAATAATCCTTGCATTTGATATAGCGCCTTATCACGTCACGTTGCAATGTCTCAAAAGTGAGACATGATATGATATACTGTAAAGTGAATTGACTGTATTTTGTGGACGAAACATTACTACTAACTAACACTACTACAGAACACATAACCTGTACCAGTAATGTTAACAAACAGGAAACAACAATATTTCCTCGTGTATTTGTAGGTGAATGCGGTAGGCAATTTACACACAATGTCCCAAACCAAATTTTGTTTGAAGGATTATGGCCAGGACACCGTCAAAAACTCGCTTCTTTTATCAAATAGTGCCGGGAGATCTTTAACATCTACTTGAACGGGACCTTGGTTTAACGTCTCATCCAAAGAACTGAACCTCTGACAACACAGCGTTCCTCAGCGCTGTATTTGGAGTGTCAGCCTGTGAGCTCAATGTGCTGATGTTATGTTATGATCCAGAGATGAGAACGCTACCAACTAAACAGACTGATACCTCTAATGAAGATTAAAATTCCTGTATGAATAGAAGTCACTACAGGAGGACATACAAATCCTGCTTCAAAAGAATCAAGGCAGATTAGAGCATCTAAAGAGTAACTGTAGGAGGAAAAACAAGTGCCTTACTCAATATACCTTGACGTTTTTGTGTTGCCTCCTCCCATGCTGACTTGGTTTCCTGGCTTGAATTTGTATTGATTACAGCTGTGGTTTGGGCCAAGCCCTCTTGAATTTCCTAAAGACAGTGATAGAACTAATTAAAAGATAGAGTTGGTGCTCACACAGGAAAGTTGCGGCTACATTTGTCTTCAACTTGTCCAAAAAATAATACCCATTCATTACACTGCATAGATTGAATTTCAATCCTTTAAAAGTGAATAGTTAGCATTTCTCAAACTTAATGAAATGAATGACCTGCATCAAAAGCAAAAATTCCCTCCCACTTCATTCCTTTTCTACCATCCCTTCCTGAATGCTGTGCCTCATACTACAGAATGATTTCATGACTTCTAGCAGTATATTGTTCCTTTGTTTCTGTTGCACTTTACATGTCAGTCCAAGGACTGAGATGCTTGGAGAATCATTAACCCTAATTATGAATAATGTTTTAAAAAACTAAATGTATTCATTGAAGATGCAGGATATTGATGCTAGGAAATTAGATTAAAATTAGATTTTATGCCTCCTCCCTATAAATGGAAATTCCTCTGTATTGGAATGGAATGGGCACTCTATCCCTGGAGGAATTTAATCCCTGCTTACTTAAATTTGGAGAGTATTAGGCGTTGTTTGGCAAGACCCAAGGCTTGGGGAACCCAAAGTGTGTGTTGGGGAACTGCTGGAGTTTAACCAGTTAAAACCACATAGCTTGCCATTGAAAACATCTCTGGCAAGCTTTTCGCTACTTGTCCAGCTAGGTATACCCTACCCATTATGGCTTTGGCTTGCAGGGTTAACAGAAGCTGAGTGTGAAGAATCTTTGCCCCTGATGGGAGAGTTTCAGTGCTCAGGGGCTTGATGGTTGAATATTCAGCCACTGAAGGGAGTGGAGAGGAGCAATAAGCCCAGAGTTGAAAGAGCAGTGGGCACCAGCTGTAGTTTACAACTGGCGACAATTGCATTGAAAGTAAACGATTTTACACAGTTTGAAAGTCTCAGTATTTTTGCAATGATCTCTGCCTCAGTCTTAAACATTATAATGGGGCTCAGACAAATAACGAGAGAATGTTAGAGGAGACATTGCAACGTTAGCTGCCACAGTGAATCCATTAATTTCTATGAACTCGAGCAACAAAATCAAAGTCTCAATCCAGCAATATCGAAATCCAAAGTACACTATTGCACAGCCTTACCTGCCCAGAGAGTTTTTGGACGCAATCTTTGAGGAAATTCTCACCATCATCCTCCAACGTCTCCACTGCGTTTGACGATACATACTCCACAAGGAACACCTTGGTGACTATGCCGCTCTCTCTGCCATCCCTGTCGGTCAGTAGAAAAACAAAATACTTTGCGTTAGTAAGAAATCCATCAGTTCGTAAATAAGAACAACAAATTACATTTGTACGTGCCTTTCACGTCAGGAGGCAGTCCCAAGGTCCTCCCAACATAAAAGACACTATATGAATGACATGAAAACAAGGAATCATAAGGGACCAATTCATAGAACGTTTGCAACAACAGAAGAAGTGCATTCAGCCCATTGTGTCTGAACATTCAGGTGCACGATATCTTGATTAACAGCTCAGTTAGATCGCAACTACACTCAGCTAACAGTATATCCAACGGCACATTTTGACTTTCTGTCAGCACACAAAGACTAGCAGTTTTACAAACATTTAAGAAATACAACAACAACTTCCATTTATATCGTGCCCTTCACGCGGGATAGCATCCCGGAGTGCTTGACAGTGGTGGAGTCTGACCCCGAGCCAGGGGGAGAGGGAGTGGGGGGGAGGTGACCGGAAGCACGATCAAATACGAACGTCTTTAGGCAGGATTTGAAAGTGGGAAGGCAGGGGGCAAGACGGAGGGATTGAGGGACAGAGTTCCAGAGTTTCGGGGCCTAGTGGCTGAAGACACAGCCACCAATGGTGGAGCGGAGGGGGAGGGATGAACAGGAGGCCGGAGCCAGCCAAGCGGTGATGGAGTGGGGAGTAAGCAAATTAGATAGGTAAGGAGATACAAGGACATAAAAGGATCTGAGAATGAGTGAGAGGATCTTGAAATTGATCTGGTCAGTAATTGGGAGTCAGTGGAGCCTGGCAATGATGGGGGTACAGAGTTTTGTGCAGATGAGTATCCAGGAGTTTCGAATTAATTGGATTTTGTGTAAGGTTGAGCTGGGGAGACCAGCGAGGAGGGCATTGGAATAGTCCAGCCAGGAAGTGACGAAGGCATGGATGAGGGTTTTGGGTACTTTGGTTGTGAGGTACAGACGGAGGTAGGCAATGTGACAGAGGTGGAAAAAAGCAGTCCTGGTCAGGGAATGAATGTGGGGTAGAAAGGAAAGCTTGGGTCATAGAAGACATAGAAGAATGGGAAATAATAAATGCTGATGATATTAATTCAAGATAATTTCATGTTTTTTCACATTTAGAAGACGTGAAAAGCTCTATATCAAATGCAAGGATTATTGTTTTTATTATTATGTTCTATTACTATTAACTCTAGATGTAAACTGAATTTATTTTAAATGGAAAGGATTATTTTTTAGCTAAAGCCTTACCCAGTGATAGCCAAAGCTTTGACTGTTATTTTCCCATCGTGCAGTGTGAAAGGTGCTCTGTACTTTAAGGTAGAGTTCTCCCCATAGCCGGATTTCTTCAACTGTTGAGGTTTGTTGCCATCCAAAGTGTAGTATATATCGACATCTGAGGTATCTGACAAACAAAAATAATCTGAGAAAGAAGGGGCAAGTACAAAAGGTATGGGGGTGGGGGACAACAGTACAGGGGCTCATCCCCCAATATTACGACTTGCCATCCTGTAGATAAAGAACAAGCCTAACAGTGTAACTGCATCTTGTAAATAAAGGACACCTGTGTGGAATGTGCAGAGTCATCTTTCGCCACAAAGGGGCGATGTATGTCTACGTATATTAATCACAATCCCTACATTTGATATAGTTCCTTATTACATTGTCAAGATATCTCAAAGCGCTTCACAGAACATACTGTAAAGTGGAGTGAGATTGTCAGTGTTGTCTTGTGTTGCGCTTTGAAAAATGAATTGTTAACTTGCATATACCATATATGGTATATTTTCAATAAATTATATTGAATAAGTTATATTTTTTTTATACCTGACAAAGAAATGGCAAAAAGGCTCAGCGGGGAATGCATTTTTCTTTTTGTCTGGGTTAAATTTCTTCAACAGCCCTAGCCTCCAATATACTTCCACATCTGAGCATTAGCTGGTACCACCACTTAGTGAAGTTGTTCTATTTATATTGTTGTTTTGTCAAATAGACAGTGAAAAATAATCAGATATGGCAAAACAATGCTATATGGTTACAATTTTACTAAATTTATGACATTTATCATAGATGGAAGCAAAATCACTCAATGATTCAGTTCATTCTCCTAAATAGACAAGATACTTAAATTTAGTTCTCCAAGCACGTCAGTGATGCCAATAATAATAATAATCCTTGCATTTGGTCTAACTCCTTATCATGTCAGAAGGACGTCTCAAAGTGCTTCACACAATTTACTGTGAAATGCCGCCGACTGTCTATCGGTGGCAAATGTGGCAGCACAATTGTGCACAACAATGTCCCACAAACATTGAGTGGGCAATTTTATTTGGGGGATTTTTGGCCAGGACATCGGGAGAAATTCCCTTCTCTTTTCAAACAATGAGATCTTTAATATCCACCTGAACAGGCAGTTGAGACCTCGGTTTAACATCTCGGCTGAGTCTTACCCGAGAGTTCCAAAAACAGCAACAGAGTTGGTTTCTTACCTGATTTGATTTCTATAGGAGTGTTTGTGTCAATTTCATGTTTGGATTTGCCAGGGAGGGGGGTTCGCAATGGGATTATCCGTGGTACTGCTATGGATCCAGCTGTCATTTCTTCAGAGAGGAGTCACCTGCAGTGAAAGACCCTGTTTACCAGGAGCTCAACATGAGTTAGAGACGATGGACTGACCATGGTCAGGCTCCAATCTTGTGAAATATATTAGAGACAAAGAAAAGTCTAGGAAATATGCTTTCTATTCAAACAACACCCTTACTTATATTTGAAAATTACATCTTTATACAAATATTGCCTGGATAGGCCTCGTCTAGATAGCCTCCCAGGCCGGTGCCGAGCATTTACATTCAGTTGAAGTAAATGGAGCTCTTCTTGTTTGGAGGTGGCCTCGGTGATGTCATTGGAATCGCTTAGGTCAGGAGCAGGTACCAGTGATGCCCAAACATCAAGGATGTTTTACCTACACTGCAGCCCATACCCACTGCTTTTTTCCTCTACCCTGGCCTCTCCCCGCTTTCAGACACCACAGCCCACTCTTCTGGAAACCATCTTCCAACACTACATTATCTGTCTTCCACTCCGTGTTCAAAAAACTCTTAACAGACCCAACTCTTCGAATAAGCCTCCAGTTATCTCTAAATTTCACTTCTTGTTCGGGGTCCACTTCTGTCTGAGCTTAAACGCTTTGAGACACTCAGGTATCCTTTAAACTGAAAAGAATTAAACAAATGCCAGTTGTTAAAAACACGAATTACTTCTAAGGACGTCCTGGTGGGGGAGAAAAAACAGTGTGTGTTCCCTACTTGCCCCTTTAATAATAATACCACTTGCATTTGTCACTACGCCCGATCAAGTCAGCCAGACCCCTCAAAGCGCTTCCCCGGATTTACCGTCAATCGTAGTGACTGTATTTTGCGCGCAAACGCAGCGGCCAATTTTGCAACAGCCAGCGGTCGGGCGACCGATTGTCGTCAGGATTGTCAGCTAAGACGGCGGGAGAGGAAACTCCCTTGGCGTTTCGAACAGCGCCAGGGGGTCCTTAAGGACCACCTGAACAGGCAGAGGGGACCTCAGTTGAGGGTCTCCTACAAAAGGGCACCCCCAGCCCTGGGGATATGTGTGTGTGGGGGGGGGGGGGCGTGAACCCAGAACCTTCTGGCTCACAGTGGGTGGGGGGGGGGGAGGGGGGAGGGGGCAAGAGCTATGAACCGGACTAAATATCGTATACAAATTACCGCCCGGTCCGTGTGCAGCCGCCGGTGCTGGTGCTCGGGGCCTGGGCCCTGGTTTGCAGCCTCAGCCTCGCGCCGCTCCCTGGCAACCGGCCGCGCCGATCACCACCAGCCTAGCAACGGGCGGGCGCCTGGCAACGGCGCGTGCGCGGTGAGGCCGGAGCCCGGGGCGGGCTTTGCGTTTCGGGAAACGACGGCTTTTTTTTTCCCGTTTCTGACCCTTTTTTACTCGTGTGGTTTTTTTTTTGAATTTGAGTTTGAATTTGAAACCCGAAAAACCGTCATCTTCTTCGGAAGACCATTTTTTTTCTTCTTCCCTTATGAACAGTGCACCAGCACTCTCCGGCCTGTCCCAGGCCTCCCGCCCGCCCGCCCGGCGGCCGAGCTCTGAGCCTCTCTCCCCCCCCCCCACCCCCCACCCCTTTGGACCTCCATCCCGCAGTCCCTTCGCCTCGCCCCCCCCCCCTCTCCTGCCTCCCTGAAGGCACCACTCCTTCTTGACCGCGCCTTCAGCCGCCCTCCTGTCCCCTCCACCCTCCCACATCCTAACCCTCCCCACCCACCCCCCCACGATTGGGTCCTGATCCCCGACCGCTCAGCGCCTCGGGTCGCCCTCCCGACATGAAAGGCGCTTTACAATTGCAATTTTGTTGTTGTTGTTGCTACTCGTGGGAGGCAACACGTCATATTGGGCTACTTTTGGGCTAGTATTTGGTGGACTTTATATATCTACATAAAGGCCCAGTTGTAATGTGACTGAGAACAACTACAACAAAATCACACTTGTATAGCGCCTTTCCCGTTGGGAGGACGTCCCAAGGCGCTGGACAGTCAGTGTTTCGGACCCGAGCTGGGGTCGGGGAGGGTGGAGTGCAGGGGGGGAAGGAGGGTGATTGAAAGCACAGTCGAAGAGGAGGGTCTTGAGATGGGTCTTGAAGGAGGCAAGAGAGGGAGGCGAGGCAGAGGGAATGCAGGATGGAGGGACTGCGGGATGGAGTTCTAGAAGATGGGGGCAGAAGGCCCACCCACCAATAGTGGGGCGAGCAAGGCGGGGGATGTGAAGCAGGCCGGAACCTGCTGAGCGGAGTGAGCGGGTAGGTTGGTAGGGGGTTAGGAGGTCGCAGAGGTAGGGGCGAGCGAGGCTATAAAAGGCTTTAAAGGTGAGGACCAGGATCTTGACCTGTATTCTCTGGGGGATGGGAAGCCAGTGCAGTCGGGCGAGGATGGGGGTGATAGCGTCACAGAGCCTAGTATGGGAGAGGACATGGGCCGCAGAGTTGCGGATGATGGAGGAAGGAGTTGGGGAGGCTGACAAGCAGTGAGTTTGCATCGTCAAGTCTGGGTGTTCCGAATGCGTGTATGAAGGTTTTGGCGACCTGCGATGCGAGACAGTGGCGGAGCCGGGCGATGTTGGGGGAAGGCAGAGCAGGTCATGGCACGGATGTGGGGTAGAAAGGATAGTTGAGGGTCAAGATGCTAAGGTTCCGGACTGGTTTAGCAAGGTGGAGCGTGCATCCTTGGCTGCACCTGAAGTGTGGAAGCGCTGACAGGGGCCAATCAGGAGGGCCTCGGTCTTGCAGACGTTCAAACTGAAGAAAGTTAACTCTCCTCCAAATGTAAGACCTTAGTTAAAAAAAAATGACTATAAGCAAACTCAACCATTAGCATCAATGCAGCAATTGCCAAAGGCATTTGCGCAATATAATACAACAGCATTATAATATAAATGTATATAATAATTCTTGCACGTGATCTAGCGCTTTTCACATCCAGACGTCTCAAAGCACCTCAACGAATAGACTGTAAAGTGAACTGACTGTACAGTTGTGGGCGAAATGTTTCAATGGACAACAAAATCATTGAAAACGAAACCCCCCGCCCCCCCCGAAAAAAAAACAATTCATCGCCAAAACAAACCGAATGCGGCGAAATAATAAACAAACACAACAATAATGATGATGATAATAATAATAAACAACCATAGCATAACCATAACAAAAGAGGCGCGGTATGGAAACACTTCAAAAACATAACAAAACAAAAGATGGGAAATCCAAAGCTGAGCAGCATCTCAGCCACTCACTCCCTCCCTCCCACCCCCTCACTCCCTCCCTCCCACCCCCTCACTCCCTCCCTCCCTCCCACCCCCTCCCTCCCTCCCTCCCACCCCCTCCCTCCCTCCCTCCCACCCACTCACTCCTCTCCCTCCCTCCCACCCCCTCACTCCCTCCCTCCCACTCACTCCCTTCTCTCCCCCACTCCTCCCTCCCACTCACTCCCCTCCCTCCCTCCCTCCCTCCCACCCACTCACTCCCTCCCTCCCACTCACTCCCCTCCCTCCCTCCCACCCCCTCACTGCGTCAGCGCCAGCAGCCGGAACATCAGTCAGGCCCCCACAGTCAGGCCGCCCGCCAGGCGCCAGGCGCGGGGGAGGGGGAGGGGAAGCGGCTCCCAGTGACTGGGGATGTTATTGTAGACTCGTCTCGGAGCGCACGAAACGCCCTAAAAAAATCAACTCAGAAATAACAATAAATAAAAAAAGGGCTCTGGTCGTGTGTCAGAGGCCGTGGAGCTGACCCCCCCCCGCGGTGATTTACGGCAGCCGAGAGTTGGCGCCGGGCGGACAAACCAGTCTGTACAGCGGGGCTGCGGCTGGGCATGGAAGCCCCGGAGAGGCCTCGGCTCTGGCTGGGATTGAGGATCAGAGCCTGGGATTGAGGATCAGAGCCTGGGATTGAGGAGCAGGGCCTGGGATTGAGGAGCAGGGCCTGGGATTGAGGAGCAGAGCCTGGGATTGAGGAGCAGGGCCTGGGATTGAGGAGCAGGGCCTGGGATTGAGGAGCAAAGCCTGGGATTGAGGAGCAGGTCCTGGGATTGAGGAGCAAAGCCTGGGATTGAGGATCAGAGCCTGGGATTGAGGAGCAGGGCCTGGGATTGAGGAGCAAAGCCTGGGATTGAGGAGCAGGTCCTGGGATTGAGGAGCAGGGCCTGGGATTGAGGAGCAAAGCCTGGGATTGAGGAGCAGGGCCTGGGATTGAGGAGCAGGGCCTGGGATTGAGGAGCAAAGCCTGGGATTGAGGAGCAGGTCCTGGGATTGAGGAGCAAAGCCTGGGATTGAGGATCAGAGCCTGGGATTGAGGAGCAGGGCCTGGGATTGAGGATCAGAGCCTGGGATTGAGGAGCAGGGCCTGGGATTGAGGAGCAGAGCCTGGGATTGAGGAGCAGGGCCTGGGATTGAGGAGCAGAGCCTGGGATTGAGGAGCAGGCCCTGGGATTGAGGAGCAGAGCCTGGGATTGAGGAGCAGGGCCTGGGATTGAGGATCAGGGCCTGGGATTGAGGAGCAGAGCCTGGGATTGAGGATCAGAGCCTGGGATTGAGGAGCAGGGCCTGGGATTGAGGAGCAGGGCCTGGGATTGAGGAGCAGAGCCTGGGATTGAGGATCAGAGCCTGGGATTGAGGAGCAGGGCCTGGGATTGAGGAGCAGGGCCTGGGATTGAGGAGCAGAGCCTGGGATTGAGGAACAGGGCCTGGGATTGAGGAGCAGGGCCTGGGATTGAGGAGCAAAGCCTGGGATTGAGGAGCAGGGCCTGGGATTGAGGATCAGGTCCTGGGATTGAGGAGCAGGGCCTGGGATTGAGGAGCAGGGCCTGGGATTGAGGAGCAGGGCCTGGGATTGAGGAACAGAGCCTGGGATTGAGGAACAGAGCCTGGGATTGAGGAACAGAGCCTGGGATGTGGTGGAATTAAGAGCTGGAGTCTGGAATTACAAGATCGAGTTGTGGGGAGAACAGTCAGTCCTGCTGCAAACTCCAAACTTTGTAAAATAAATTCCTACACCTTTTGATGCTCGAGCCGTAAAACCATGGCAGACGTCAAGGTGAAACAAGAATCTGCAGATCATGCGGCTCTAGAGAGCAGGTACGTTTCTTCATTTTTGTATTTCCCTCCGTCCCCTTCTCGAAAAAAACCTCTTGAGTTTTAATCTCAGTATCACAGCCTATAATAGCTGTCAGACCGAATCTTAGATGTACCATTTGTTAGGAGTGTCATCATTGTCAGGCTCAAACTGCTATTGCAATTATTATTATTATTACTATTATTATAGTACAGTGGTATTGCACATCTTGCGGATGTTTACATCATTTACAAGATCAGCAGTGGATACTGATTTGGGTAACTCTGACCCAACTGAACAGTTCATAGAGTGGATAGAGTTTCAAGTTTGTATTAATTTTCAACTGATGGCATAGGTACCTCTGGATTGGTATTACCCTTTCCCAAAAAGAAGATTTTTACAGGTTGGCTGTTAGACATCCAACAAGCACATGTTTGAGCCCTCACAAAGTGGGTTGCAGGAACCAGGAACTATGGTGAGCAGCACAACTCAGAATGAAATTTAGATTGATAATTAAGACCTCTATAAATTCCATTTGTGTGTTTGGTGTGGAATAAGATGCATTTGAGCAACTTTCACATCAAGCTAATGGTAAACTTCCATCAAGTTTGTGTTTCTCCATTAAGATGTTTTATCCAGTGTGTAACTTGTTGCAGGCTGTGTATTGTCTCGTAATTCTCACCAATCCATTATTGCACTTGTATCTTCCCAATATTACATTGAATAACAAAGTATTGAAAGGGGTTGGTATTTTTTACCACTGTTTGCTGAGATGTTAAATTGTGGTCATGGATTGTAGCATCTTATTATGCAGAAGAGACTGCAAGTAAACAAATTCTGACTGTTGAGTCTCCTTGACTTTTCTTGTGGATTTTTCCTCTAGGATTTTAGAGCTTTGTCAGCAGTTCCCACATGGCATCACGGACCAGGTTATTCAGAACGACATGCCACAAGTGGAGCCCAAGAAAAGGGCGTTGGCCATTAACAGGCTTCTCTCAATGGTACTTCTGTGCTTCAACTATTAATAATTTTCTTTCTGTTATTGTTTGCATGGTATTGTTTATCTCTTCAGTTTCTGGCTTTCCCTAATACTGTACCTTGATAATTAAGTATTAAAAGAATAATTGAACTACCTACTTTTCGATCATAATTTGCTCTTGCGCCTTTGAAATCATCTATGTATAGAAATCTGGTAAAGTGGTTTATGCCCAACACATGTTGGTTTTCTTGACCAGCACAAATATTAAAAATGTAGATTTGCTAAACAGTTAACAGGATGGGAACTCTAGTCTGGAGTCCCTCCGACTCGCCCCCTCTCTCACCTCTTCCACGGTCTGTTTCAAGACCATCCTCTTTGACCATACCTTGCGTCTTCTTTCCCTCCCCGCCTTTCTCAGCTACCATCCCCAGCTTGGGTGCCAAGTCAGGACTGTCAAGAGGTCCTCCCAAAATGAAAGGCAGTATATAAATGTAAATTTGTATCGTAACTGTTTAATTGTTTCTAAATTCATAGAATGTTTACAAAACAGAAGGAGGCCATTTGGCCCATTATATTTGTGCTGGTGGTAGCTCGCTGATTCTAATTCCATTCCCCCACTCTTTCCCGATCCTGTGCCCTTTTATATTGTCCAGATTTTTATTTACGAGCCTTTGAATGTTTCAGGGGCAGCTGGATCTGCTGAGGAGTGCTGCCGGTCTGCTTTACCGAATGAAGGACTCTCAGATTGCAAGGTAATCTTCATTGACCTCTTTTCCCAGTTGGTAGGGGGGAGAGAGGAGGAAAAAGTTATTTTATGTCAGGACTATTGAGTGGGGGGGAGAGAAGAAATGTGAAAGAACCTTTCTCCTCATGTTTATACAACAATTTTCTAATACCACCAATTTAATCCCAATTTAATCCCATCTTTTGTGGGGCAATGCTTAGCCTCTCACAGCTGCCTCTAGTTCGTGGTATGAAAGAGATTGAGTGCCCCAATATGAGGAGCTAATAGCACTAACCAATGGCTCAATGCTTTGTACCACAGCCGGTTTAGAATTTAGAGTGGCACTAGTGTATGGTGCGAGTAGAGCTCTCATGTGTCCTCATGATTGGTTTGTTCTGTGTAGCCTGAGATATTCTAGGTAACATGAAAAAAAGGCTTTTAATTTAAGACTCAATGTAATAATTTTGCAAAATTCTGTACGATCTTAAATTTTAAAGGCAATGATCTGAAGGCTAAGATCAAGGTATTTTCAGGCCTTTAAAGTCGTACACAGCTAAATTAACATGAATAGTTGCAGTCATTACCTTTGAGTACTTCATTTTGACTGTTATTTCAGATCCCTCATGTAGTACCTCTTGTTAGTTTATTAATTCTTTGCTCCAAAGACCCTCTAAGATAAAAATGAAAGAAACATTGGATTTAAAATGAGGATCTTGACAGTTGAGGCTTTGTCTTCGAATACAGAATCCGTGTATTTAAAATGAATTTTGTTCCCATATTAATGTTTTACAGCAAAATGAAGGGTTCTGACAATCAGGAGAAACTTGTTTATCAGATTATAGAAGACGCCGGGAACAAAGGTACAGTAATATCCATTCAACTACTATTAGCAGTTGAGGCTTGAAATTTACTGGAAGAATATACTGGATTTGGTGCTTTTCTGTGCTCATAAATATGAGGAAATTAAACACATTGTCAGCATCATACACTCTGTGTGAAAGGTGCTATACAAATGTAATTTGTTGTTGTAGTGATAAGTATGCCTAAGTATGCCTAGGACCAAGCTTTCTCTGTTTTGTCCAAATAATGTGTCTTAACCCCAGTTTTAGAGCATAATTTTCCACATCACACACCAGCCAACCTTTTCGATCCTTAGAGGGAGACAACCAGTTGGAGCTAATATAGTGACTTAGTGCTAGCCAATGGATTAAAAGTGATCAAACTCAGTGGAATTTATTACCACAGGATGTTCATTCTTTTGTTGATGATCTTACTGAGAGGGTGTGGTGTGTGAAATGCAAAATGAGACTTCTAAGGCTGAGGTTAGGGCACGTTATTCGGAGAAGGCTTCTTCCTGCATCCAAACGTGCTGCCTGCTCCTGTCTGAGCCTGGAGCGATTGAGATGGATGTTCTACTACTTTTACTATTCTGCTACTAGCCTGAGCTGAATTTTTAAGGCTTCAAGCAGAGTTAGCTGTGCCTGGGAATATCTGGGTCAAAATCAAAATATGGAACTAACAACAGCATTTATATAGCGCCCCGCACACAAGGTAGTGTTCTGCAACACTTAACACACACAGAGTGTGAAAAGTTTATTTTAAGATTAACTGTATAACAGTTTCCAGCTGTCTCCTTATGCCTAGTAGAGTATGCGTGTGTGTAGGTATTTTGTGCAGAGAATTGAGTAGTTTTCCTCCCTCCCTTCCCTTCCTTCCTGTTAGATCTTATGTAAACAAAGACATTGTATAATTTCTGACTAGGTGCTAAAATCTAGAGAATGTACTTTTTGGTCTGTTTGGATTTGTGCTGCATCATAAGGCACTGCGAGGTTGTAGTTTTAAATCCAGTGTATTTAACTGTCCAGCCAGTGTAGGAGTGAATGCTGCCTATTAGTAAATAAAAGATTTATCTTAGTGTCACTCGGTTTAGGGATAATTTCACTTCCCATAACCGTTACTATTCCTTTTCAAATTTCCATTCTAATTCCTGTTAAAAGAATTTCCACTTGAGGAAGAAACGGCAAGCAAGTCACAAGCTTCTCTGTGCCCTCTTATGATTCATCCTCCTTTATCATCCACACATGCTTAGTGGGGAATGTTGTCTAAAGATTTCATTTATTACGTGCCCAGCCCTTCTTCACCCAGGCTCCATATTCTCAAGACACCCCACCTCTCTGTCACTCTGATTGCTCCAGCGTATTACCTCGCTCCCAGCTGCCATTCAAGATAAAGACAGCTCCTGTTACCCCCGCAAACCAAAGCCTTACTGGGTAGGGTGGTCCTCACTGGGCAAGTAGCGGGAAAGCTTACTAGGCCATGCTCACTCTATGGGCAAGCTATGTGCTTTTAGCTGGTTAGACTCCAGCAGTTACCCTAACGCACACTCTGCGCTCCCCCTAAGCCTTGGCTCTTGCCAACCTGCGCCTAACCAAGGCAAAACCTTGGGCAAGTTTCCTTACTCCACATGCCTGATAATAATCCCTCAAGAAAAAAAAATAATAAATTGTTCACTCAATCCATGGCTGTTTGAGGGACACTGCTGTGCACAATTGGCTGCCGCGTTTTGCCCACAAATGTAGTCAATTCACTTTACAGTGTATTCTGTGAAGCGGTTTGAGATGTCTCGAAGATGTGAAAAGTACCATATCAAATGCAAGGATTATTATTATTTACAGGCCAGACAAATAGACTAGTGTTAAAATGAACTCAGACCACCTCTGGGGCTGTGACATCTCGTGTTTCTATTACTGTTCATATCCCTTCACTCTCTGGCACCTCCCTTTCTCTCCGACCACCTCACTCCCCAATCCACCACCCAGCGCCTCCGACTTCCACTTCCACTGTGCTTACAGCCACCTATGCGCCTGCCCACGCGCCCCCCCCACCCCAGCTTGGAGTCAGGCTCTGCCACTGTTAAGCGCTTGGAGATGCTAACCTGTGTGGAGGGCGCTTAATAAGGGCAAGTTGTTGTTGTACTGACGTGTGGATGGGTTGCTTATTAACCTGAAAAGGATTTGCTGTCTGAACATGCAGATGTCATTTTATGTTGTATTATCTGCACTTTAGCGACTTGTCTGAAGATTACAATGATTAGAAAGTTGGCAACCTTTTGTTTCCCGTTTGGCTAAATAGTTACAACTTATAATCAGTGCGATTCAGGTCTATGGAACTCAATTAATTTTTGTTAAATAAACTATTTCCAGGTATATGGAGTAGGGATATTCGATATAAGAGTAACCTGCCGCTCACCGAGATCAACAAAATTCTCAAAAACATGGAGAGTAAAAAGCTCATTAAAGCTGTCAAGTCTGTTGCTGTGAGTACTTTTGTTGTGTGTATCGACTTTTTTTTGGTCAGCCATCACCATGCTTAAGAGTATCCAACCAAATCGAGAGTTCATTCATCACACCTACACACTGAGATTCCCAAGATATTTATTGGAATGGAATGGACCCATCCTGTAACCTAATTCTGGAAAGTATTAGGCACAGGTTGGCAAGAGCTAAGTCTTACAACAACAAGATTCCATTAATAGAGCGCCTTTCACGTCGGGAAGACGTCCCAAGTCTTAGGGCCTACCCCTCGTTAGGGATTTCTTTCCATTGCGGGAATTCTATGTACGAGGAAAGCTGGAAAGTGGGATGAACACATTATTTTTTAGAAAAGTAGATAGCATTGGATCAGACATGATAGGCTGAATGCCCTTTTTCTGAGTAGTAAATTTCTGTTAATCCTTACTTTTCCTCCTCTGTTCTCCTGTATGCTAGGCTTCAAAGAAGAAGGTGTACATGCTATATAACTTGCAACCGGACCGATCAGTTACAGGAGGAGCTTGGTACAGTGACCAGGATTTTGAGTCTGAGTTTGTAGAAGTGCTGAACCAGCAATGCTTCAAATTCTTACAGAATAAGGTACGATTTGGAGAAGGGAGTTCCTGGACTTTAAAGCACTATTGTCATACAATGGGCTGAATTCTATTTATTTATAATTCTTACATTTGAAACCACTCAAATGGAATTGACTGAAGTATAGTGACTGAATTTGTAGATGAATGTGGCAGTCAATTTATGCACAGCAATATCCCATAAAGAGTCATGACGTGAATGACTAATTTAATCTGGGGGGATTATTGGCATGGATATCGGGGAAAACTCTGTCGACTTCTCAATTAGTGTCACAAAATCTTTAACATCCACCTGAACAGCTCATTTCAACATTTTATCCGAAGGACAGCAGCTCTGACAATATTACCTATTGCTAAAGAAAGTATTTTTATGAATATGCTTAGAAATTTTCATTGGAATGCTTTGCCTAAATTATGCTGGGTAGAACATACAACATACAATGTAGTTTGTAGCTTTACTCATGTACACACTGGTATTAGTATTAGTATTCAGATCATTGATTCAATAACTTGTTCTCTCCAGGCAGAGGTGGCACGTGAGAGCAAACAAAGTCCCATGGTACAAAGGAACAGCTCATTTGCTTCCTCTCATGAAGTGTGGAAATACATCTGTGAATTGGGCATCAGCAAGGTATTAGAATATTGCACCTCCCCTCTGTGGTGTTTTTGAGGATTGCAGTTAACTTTGTAAATTCCAACCTTTGGGACCAAACCAACGTAAGATAAGTTTCTTCCTCCTTGATATCTTGGGTAACTTGACAACTAACATAGCCTGCTAATCCACACTTCTCTTTCAAGACACTGCTGTAGATACAGGGCAATCCCATTATAACACCCTTGTTTTTAGCACAGCTTCAGCTTTGGGATCCTTAGACCAGCATTAACCGGAAGTGCAGTACATTTGTTTCTGGCACTGACTAGCCTGTATCTGGAATGGAATGCATGCTTCCATTGACTGACACTCCCTGCTTACCTAATTCTGAGGAGTATTAGATGCTGTTTGGCAAGAGCCAAGGCTTGGGGATCCCACTCTGTGAATTATGATCCTGCTGGACTTTAACCAGCAAAAAATCATAACTTAAGAACACTATCTTACAAGCCATGGAGGACATGCCTTGCATGCTTCTCAGCTAGCACTACCCTTTTTGTTAAAGCTTTGGCTTGCAGGATTAAAAGTAGCTCTTCTCCCAGGGATGGATTTGCCCCTCCAAATCCTGCTGATGAGCTAGGCTGGATGGTCTGACACCAGTGCCCTTGGGTACAGCGGATCTATCTGGCTCAGGTACTGGCTACCAAGACCGCCACAGAAGTTCACTCACTTACATTGTCAAGCACATTACCTTGGTGTCAGCTCATTTCCAAGGAAGGCCCAATTACCTCCCCTTCCCCACCCCACTCACCCCACCTCGAGGATTTTCATTGTGCTGTGTAGGAGATCAATTTTGACATTTTTCTAAAATCTTAGGTGGAGCTATCCATGGAAGATATTGAAACCATTTTGAACACATTGATCTATGATGGGAAGGTAGAGGTGACCATCATTGCTGCAAAGGAAGGCACGGTTGGTAGTGTGGATGGGCAAATGAAGTTGTTCAGAGCAGTTAATCCCATCATTCAACCCACTGGCCTTGTGCGAACACCATGTGGAATGTGTCCAGTAAGTGAATCTTCATTACAACAACAACAATTTGTAGTTGAGACATCTCAAAGCGCTTCACAGAATATACTGTAAAGTGAATTGACTATTTTGTGGGGAAAACACGGCAGCCAGTTGTACACACTAGTATCCCACAAACAGTCGTGGAGTAAATGACCACATTTTTTTGTGGGGTTGGGGGGGGGCGGGGATTCTTACCCCCGGAAAGCAATCCGCCAATTGCCCAACAACCGGGTTCCTACTTACTGCTAGGTAAACAGAGAGTGTGGAGTAAGGAAACTTGCCCAACATTTCGCCATGCTGGGGATCAAACCCAGGTCCTAAGCTTGTGAAAAGAACATGCATACCTCTACGCTAACGGACTCCACTCCACCGTGTTATAACACAGACATAACTACAAGGATTTTTATTGTTATTTTTTCCTTCTTGGGTTATATATTTGATAACTAAGACAATAGAAATCAAAGAGACAACTCCTGCTTGCTGCCCTATCCTTTGATATTCCTCCACATCTTTACATTGCCTTTGGAATGAATTTATAGACTCTGGTTCAATGGTTTGTGCCAGACAATTTCACGTTCCAATCATCATCGGTGCAAAGATTTTTTTCCTAACCTTCTGTTTAATTGTTTTTACGATCTTCTTAAATTTGTGCCTTCTAATTGCTGATATGATATGGGAGGATGTGATAGTTTACTGCAAAGTGTATGGTCGGTATTCTGTAAGTGAACAAGCAGCTAATTTGTACACTGTTCCTCAAACAGTCATGAAGCAAAATGACCAATTTTATTTGAGATATCTTTGGCCAAGACACCAGGAACAACTTTTCTTTTGAAAGAATATGCAGTAGGATTTAATTCTTAACATTGGAATGTTTTTGTTTTTATAGGTATTTGATGATTGTCATGAAGGTGGGGACATTTCTCCAGCAACATGCATCTATATGACAGAATGGCTACAATTTTAACTGTTGTTGTGGTAGCAAAAGGAACAATGGACCACCTGAAAGGGCAGACCGTGTGCCCAAGGATATTTAACAATACACAGAAGAAATTGCAGAGTCAACTCTACAATGCTCAGTGTGAGAAGATAATGGGGGAATAGAACTTGTAAATGTTTGCAATGCAGAACAACGAAGAGGAAGATCATATTTTTTAAGATTTAATTTATTTCTTATACCTTCAAAATAGCTGGCTTGTATTCTCCTTTTTCAAGTGAAAGGTGTTATATAAATGCAAAAACAAGTATGAAATGAAACATAGTCAATCTGTCCTTGTATCTTGATCATCTGCAACTGCTGAATCTGGTTATTGTCCTTAGTATTGTCCCAGCAACTCAGAAATGATCATGTTCCACCCAGGAATCTTCCCTACTGGCCTGACCCCTAACTCTCTTCATTACCCCCTGTTCCATGTCTCCTCTCTTCATTACCCCTCCTGCCCTGTCACCATGATCCAATCCATTATGTCCTGCCCTGTCTCCCTGACCCTCTTCTTTACCTCCTTCCCTCTTCTGGGCTCCCAGTCTGCTCCGAGAAGCACTTTTAGATGTCTTGATATGAAAAGGCTTTGTTCTCACAACCTCTTGACTAGGTTGTAAGAAACTCTTCCAACTGAGCCAGGCTGACACCTTGATATCCGTGTGCACCTAGGAGACAAACTGTATACCTAATGCCTTGGTCAAGGGCGCCTCTATTTCCACCTTCACACTCCATAACACCCTGAGAGTGTCTGAAGCTGTATAGGGTAGCGACAATAGAGCCACAGAATGAGGATTCCCCTTACATAATGTCCATCTCCTTAACCTCTCAGATCCTTTACAATTGCTGGGAGGGATGTACCGTAAAGGGTAGTGACTATTTTGTGGGCAAACATGGCAGACAATTTGCATACAGCAATATCCCACAAAACAGCCATGGAGTGGTGACGTGGGCAATCTCAGACAGGACATCAGGAGAAACTCCCTTCTCTTTTTCAACAGTGACGGTATCTTCAGTGTCCACCTGAACAGGTACAGACGGAGCCTTGGATTAATTCCTCAACCAAAGGACTGCACCTCCGACAATACTATATATCCCAGCACTGTATTGGAGTATCAGTTTAGACTGTGGGTTCCTCGTCCTGACGTGGGGCTTGAAACCAAGATTGTCTGACTTAGGCATGAGTGTTACCAACAGAGTGAGGCTGGCTGACGTACGACTTGGATAGATACTGCAATGGAAAAAAAACGATTTTTTTTAAAAAAAGCAAGAATTCATGAACAGAATTCCTAATTTCAATTAACACTGCTAGTGCTTGATGTCAGCCTGGCTCAGTTGATTGCATTTCATAGAACCATAGTAATTTGCACTGAGGCCTCTGAATCAGTAGGTTTTAGGTTCAAGCTCCACATTAGGACACTTCAATACAGAGCATTGTAAGAGGGGCAGTTCTTCAGATGAGATGTTGAACCAAGGCCCAGTGTGTGACTTTTCAGGTAAACATTATAGATCTCACGGTGTGGTATGAAAACAAGAACGTTTCTCCTGGTGCCTTGGCAATAATCCCCGATTGTGTATTTCACCACATCACCCTGATATCAAACAAGAACTTCTGATACAGCTACGCCTTTTGCTTCATGTTCTGCTTCATGTTCAATGCCTGTCAGCCCCACCATCAGCAAGCAGGCTTGTTGATGTGGGCATGCTTTTCTGCTCCCATCCCAGTGCTCCTCCGCTATTTCAAGCCACATCTCAAGCATACTTATTTGACTATCCTTTCAGTCATCTAACTTTCGGTTTCCACACTCAGCTTAAGTGTCTGTCCAACATTGTGAATGCACTTTGGGAAGCTGCCCATCCAACCCCGCTGTGAAAGGTGCCGTGTGAACCTAACTACTTGAAAGACATGTTAATCAAATCTGTAAAGCAACTCCTGCAGACTAACAGCAGCAGCATAGCATTTCACAGGATTTCACTGTAAGGTGTAGTGATTGTAATTTGTAGGTGATCGCGGCAGCGGCCCTCAGTGGGCAGCACTCTGGCCTCCGAGTTATAAGGTTGTGGGTTTGAACCCCCACTTCAGAGCTTTGAGCTCACGCTCTAGCCTGACACTCCAGTGCCACGGAGTGCTGCTTTCAGGGGCAGGATTGCCCTGAGGGGGCCACATATAACGTTCGATTCCAGGGCCCCTACTAGGTTCCCCAGGCAACCAAACTTTACAGGGAGGATGTCCCAACCTGGGGGCGCAGCTATTGACTGGAGGGCAGCCAGTGTGAGCCCAGCCCAGAGCAGCCACAGATTGTATGCCTGTTCAGGTGAACATTAAAGATCTCATGTTACTATTCGAAAAGAGAAGGTAGTTAATGCACTTCACAGCCTATTCTGTAAAGTGCTTTGAGGCTTCTTGACAATGTAATAAGACGCTATATCAAATGCAAGAATTCTTACTGGGAATGCCCTGCAAGCTTCCTGGTGGGCAGCACAGCTCAGCATGAAATGCATGAAAGCATTGTCACAATCTCCCTGTCCACCCGCCTGGACACCCGCCCTTCCTGATGGTTCCAACAGTTGGAGGTTTGGAGTTTACGCAGCAACAACAACAACAACGTGCATTTATATAGTGCCCTTCATACCAGACGGAGTCTCGGAGCTCTTAACAGTGGTGGAGCCCGATGCTGAGCCAGGGGGAGGGGGAAGGTGACCGTAGGCACAGTCGAAGCGGAAGATCTTCAAGCGCAACCTGAAAACGGGGAGATGGGGTTGAGGAAGAGAGTTCCACAGCTGCTTACAACAACATCAACAACAAGATTCCATTTATAGAGCGCCTTTCACGTCGGGAGGACGTCCCAAGGCGCTGGACAGTTGGGTCAGGACCCGAGCAGGGGGGAAATGGTCAGTGTGAGGGGAGGGAAGGGAGGGAGGGAGGAATGGGTAGAGAGTCGAGAGGGGAGCTGAAGGCACGGTCAAAGAGAAAGGTCTTGAAGGAGGAAAGGGAGGAGGCGGCGAAGGCACTGGGGGATAGAGTTCCAGAGCCTCGGGGCTGAGAGGCTGAAGGCCCGACCACCAATGGTAGGGCGGTTAGGGCGGGGGATGTGGAGCAGACCGGAGCCAGAGGAACGGAGGGTACAGGCAGGTAGGTAGGGGGATAGTAGGTTGGAGAGGTAGGAGGGAGCAAGGCCGTGAATGGCCTTGTAGGTGAGGATGAGGATCTTGAATTGGATCTTACTTCTCTACAAACCAATCAGGGTGGATTCCAAGTGCTGGATGTTCATGAACCTTGACTCCAGGTAACGCCTTCCAGCAGCTGTGGCCCAAAGCCTCAGAGTTTCCTAATCAGCATCTGAGAGACATCTGCCTTCAGCATATTGGGAGTACCTTTAAAGGACAACCTATGACCTGCCAGCCAACCAGATGTATGGGATCTCATCCAATGCCACATATCAGGCTTACTCAGCATCGGCTGCTTAATCCTGAGCGTCATGGGAGAGGCCTTGGCAAGTAGACATGACTGCTGTGAAGCAAACTTTGCATCCTGGGTGCTTAGCAACAAGTCAGGGTAGACCAGAGCCCTCCCTCTCTGCAGCAGCCTCCCATGTTTGCCTGGCCAAGACACTGCTTGCAGTCAGGAAAGGCAAATCACAAACATCTGAACATAACAGCAGATGTATTCAATTTGATTCAACTGTCGTAAACAAATGACATTTAACAATGCAATTTTATTGACGTAATGCTCATGTTTTCCACTCTGATTTTGAGATCAGTCATCACTTGCAGATCACTGCTTGCAGTCAGGAAAGGCAATAATTCAATTCCTCCCTCCTACCCTGCGCCCATTTGTACAACAACAACATTACACTTGTATAGTGCCTTTCATGTTGGGAGGACGTCCAAAGGCGGTGAACTGTCAGTGTTTCGGACCCAAGGTGGAGGTTGGGATCGGGGAGGGTGAAGAGCGGGGCGGGGGGGGGGGGAAAGGAGGGTGATCGAAGGCACGGTCAAAGAGGAGGGTCTTGAGATGGATCTTGAAGGAGGCAAGGGAGGGGGCGAGGCAGAGGGAATGCAGGATGGAGTTCCAGAGTGGCAGAAGGCCCACCCACCAACGGTGGGGCGGGCGAGGAGAGGGACATGAAGCAGGCCAGAGCCCGCTGAGCGGAGGCAGCGGGCAGGTTGGTAGGAGGTTAGAAGGTCGGAGAGGTAGGGAGGAGCAAGGCCATGGAGGACTTTGAAGGTGAGGACCAGGATCTTGAACTGTATCCTCTGTGTGATGGGAAACCTGTGGAGTTGGGCGAGGATGGGGCTGATATTGTCACGGTGCCTGGTGCGGGAGAGAACACTGGCTGCAGAGTTCTGGATGGAGGAGTCCTATGGAGTTTGTGTGAAGAAGAGACTTTGGTCGGTTGGTAGATAGCTACAGAGATGTGTAATCATTGAGTCAATGTATCAATTATTTCAACATGTAAGCTACTATTAAAAATGTATGCCTATACTAATTTTTCCTTTCTTGTCTAGCTGGGATCACCACATCTGTAAGAATGGGGATACCAGGCGCTGAGAAGAAAGAATTTTATTTATTATCAGGATCTTTCTTTGAGCCAGACAGACATTAATCATTCAAAGTACACTGGAACACTGTGATCTTCCTGGTTAATATTACAATACAAGGACACCATATATTTACATAGCGCCTGGGAGAGCTTTCCAATGTACTTAACTAGCTTGGTACCTGAGCTGGGGTCTAGGCTGAGAAGGTTGGGGAGGGGAAAGATGACCGAAAGAGCAATCAAGGAGGTAGGAAATCTTGAGGTGGACTTTCAATGATGTAAGGGAGGAAGCAAGTCAGAGGAACTCTAGGATGGAGTTTCAGTGAGGAGAGAGGAAAGTGAAAGCTTGTCCAGTGGAGCAGATAGGGCAGGGAACATGACGCAGTCTGCTGAGCAAAGAGAGCGGCTGGGTTGGTATGATATGGAACTCAATCTGCTGGGAGATGGGAGGCAATGGAGCTGAGGTGGGGTGATAATCTTGTGGAACCTGGTGTGGGAAAGGATCACCAAGTTTAGGAACATAAGAAGAGTAGAGGAGCAAATCTCCTTGGTTTTATTTATTACTGTTTCCACAGTCATGTCCTGTCCTGTAGTTCTACATATTCAAAATAACTACCACAAGGTAGCTCTTTTCTTTGTAGATGAACAAATCCGTTGCTACTTTTGTCCAGGTTTGGTGTGGTTTCTTGTGCCACATGATTGACTCATGTCTCTTCTAGTTTTGATATCAGGCA